CCCGATTGAAGATAGGAGCAGCTCGGCTTATGTGTACCCAGCCCTGAGGCTGCTCTGAAACTTCTTACTGAGGGGCTCAGCCCCCGTTCGTAAAACAGAGCCCCCCCGGCCCAGCCTCTTTTAAGGACAGAGCCCCCTGGCTCTAGTCCAGCCTGTTTTAAGGACAGACCCCCCCTGCCCCAGCCCAGCCCATTTTAAGAACATAGTCCCCTGGCTCTGGCCCAGCCTGTTTGTTTTTATTTATTTATTTATGTATTTATTGAGACGGAGTCTCGCTCTGTCACCCAGGCTGGAGTGCAGTGGCGTGATCTCGGCTCGCTGCAAGCTCCGTCTCCCGGGTTCACGCCATTCTCCTTCCTCAGCCTCCCGAGTAGCTGGGACTACAGGCGTCCGCCACCACAGATGGCCAATTTTTTGTATTTTTAGTAGAGACGAGGTTTCACCGTGTTGGCCAGTATGGTCTCAATCTCTTGACCTCCTGATCTGCCCACCTCAGCCTCCCAAAGTGCTGGGGTTACAGGTGTGAGCCACCGCACCCGGCCTAGCCCAGCCCAGCCTGTTTTAAGGACAGAGCCCCCGGCTCTAACGTGCCCTCTCTCTCTCTCTCCCCCTCTCTCCCCAGAGCGCTGCAGTTCCCTCCCGAAGGCTGGCTCCGGCTGTCCCTTAACAACGGCAGCATCACCCACCTGGTGATCCGACCCAATGGCCGAGTTGCGCTCAGGACCCTCGGGGACACGGGGTTCATGCCTCCCGACAAGATCACCCGGTCGTGAGGGCACCGCAGGGCTCTGGCCTCTCCTTCCCTCTGTCCTCCCTGCACAGGCCGCACGCGCTTACGTTTTGTTCCCGAGGAGACAGGTGGAAAAGTAGAAACCTACAATGCTGCATCTGGGGAGTGACTTGTGGCCAGGCTGAGAAGGGGAGAGTTGGGATCAGACAGCCTGACTTCTATACAGGGTTTCATACCTGACCAAGGAACCCCCAGGATGGCGTGGGGTTTAAGGCAAAGACCTCTCATGCAGAAGTCAGGCCTGTTGTGGGGACCTGAATGAGGCCTGACCCAGACCACCATGTTCGCAGCCACGGCTGACCCGTGCCGAGGGTCCATGCTCCGTTGGCAAAGCCAGTCAGGCACGAGGGTGACTGAGGCACACGGATGAGGAGGGCACCCAGGTTCTGTTCACAACTCACTTCACCTCATACATCCTTTTAATTTCTTAAAACCCTCTTGTCATTTAAATATTTGTCCATTAAAGATTTTCTGGATGGGCACAGTGGCTCACACCTGTATTCCCAGCTACTCCGGAGGCCAAGGTGGGAGGATCTCTTGAGCCCAGGAGTTTTAAGACCAGCCTGGACAAGGCAACATAGCGAGACCCTGTCTCTACTAAAAATACAAAAGTTAGCTGGGCATGGTGGTGGGCATCTATAGTCCCAGCTACTTGGGAGGCTGAGGTGGGTGGATCACTTGGGCCCAGGAGTTGGAGGCTGCAGTGAGCTGTGATTTGTGTCACTACCCTCCAGCCTGGGCAACCAAGGGAGACTTAAAGCAATTTTTTTTTTTTTTTGAAACGGAGTTTCACTCTTATTGCCCAAGCTGGAGTGCAGTGGCGGGATCCTGGCTCACTGCAACCTCTGGCCTCCTGGGTTCAAGTGATTCTCCTGCCTCAGCCTCCCAAGTAGCTGGGATTACAGGCGCCCACCACCGCACCCGGCTAATTTTGTATTTTTAGTAGAGATGGGGTTTCACCACGTTGGCCAGGCTGGTCTCGAACTCCTGACCTCGTGATCCGCCCGCCTCGGCCTCCCAAAGTGCTGGGATTACAGGCGTGAGCTACCGCACCCGGCCGGGGATTAAAACATTTAAACGTGTTGTGTGTACCTAGATATTATGTTAATTTAGGAAAAACTAAAATTTCTATGAAGTGGTTGTGACTATTTTCTGTAGTCGATACAATTGGGATATCTGATCTATTTCTCTGTCTACTTTGGAAATGATTGCATAATAAAATTTTACTGTTTTTCTTAAAAGGACTAGTGACTGTGTTAAAAACAGGAAACTTCGGCCGGGCACGGTGGTTCAAACCTGTAATCCCAGCACTTTGGGAGGCCAAGGTGGGCAGATCACGAGGTGGAAAGTTCAAAACCAGCCTGACCAACATGGTGAAACCCCGTCTCTACTAAAAATACAAAAATTAGCCAGGCGTGGCGGGCGCCTGTAATCCCAGCTACTCGGGAAGCTGAGGCAGGAGAATCGCTTGAACCCAGGAGGCAGAACTTGCAGGGAGCCGAGATCACGCCATTGCACTCCAGCCTGGGCAACACAGCGAGACACCATCTAAAAAGGAAAAAAAGGAAACTTGTGCAGTGTGAGAAACGATGGTGCCACCAGAACCCTTTGCACAGGGTCCCGTCTCCCCATGGTGTTGACACCTCTGCCTGTGTCACACCAGCTGCCTGCTCAGAGGACTTCCGCCAGCGGCCTGGGCCCTCTCCGAATCCCTGACCAGGATGGCAAGACTGACCAGTGGCTGTGGAGACAACAGCCACAGCAACCAAACGCCATTGTCTAGAAACAGTTTGATAAGCCAGGGCTGCGCCGACTTCAAAAACAAATACCAGGCACGCTCACGCTTGACCTCAGACAGGAGCAAGGCTCTCGCGGAAGGAGTCCGGGATGCTCTCAGTCAGCTGCACAGGCGCCCACGCCACAGTCCCAGGCGGGGCCTCTGGGGATGGGCGGCACTGCAGGGCTAAGCCTTTGTTTTGCTTGGGGCCCTGGCTCCTCTGTAAAGTGGGAAAGCTTGGAGGTGGGAGCGGGGCCAGCACGCCTGGCACCAAGGCGGTGCTCAGAGCAGGCACAGGGTTGCTGGGCGGAGAAGCTCATCGCAACGTGGAATGACCACACATCAGCTGGCCCTGACCCCCACCCAGCCCGCGGCTACTCCCGTCACTCACGTCACAGACCTGAGTCCCACCCACGTGAAGATCTGGACAGACTCCCAGGTCTAAAGGGGGAAGCGGAAGGGGGACCGTGAGCAGTTTTCAGTGCATCACAAGAAACCAGTGACCCAGAAGTCTTCGAAATGCTTATGCCAAAAAAAAAAAAAAAAAAAAAAAAACCAAAAGGAAAGAAAACCTGATGCTGCTGCTTAAGTCAGATTTGAAGTCAAGGATTTTGAAAAGTTAAGCCACAAACTCAGTGTGACTCATTCTTTAAGAGCACACGGCAATGATAACCTGTATTCTTGTTTTTCAAGTCTACAGCCCTTGGTATTCCCAGGCAGCCTCCAATCCAAGTCCTAACCAGGCCCTGCTTATCTGCCAAGATCAGAGACTCTGGATGTGTTCAGTGTAGTATGGCCATAGATGATTACCCAACTTTCTTGAATATGAAACTTTAAATAACTTTTAGTTTCTTTTTCTAGAGTAAATTCCCAGCAAACTTTTTTTTTTGAGACATAGTCTTGCTCTGTCACCCAGGCTGGAGTGCAGTGCCATGATCTTGGCTCACTACAACCTCTGCTTTCCAGGCTCAAGCGATTCTCATGTCTCAGCCTCCCAAGTGGCTTGTTCTACAGGCGTGCATCACTGCACCTGGCTCATTTTTGCATTTTTAGTAGAGATGAGTTTCACTCTGCTGGCTAGACCGGTCTGGAGCTCCCTGGCCTCAGTGATCCGCCCACCTCGGCCTCCCAAAGCGCATGAGCCACTGTGCCTGGTAGACGTTTCCCTTCTAGAATACCTGCTGTTTAAGTGGTTCTTACTTGGCCTTTTCCAGACTTCTGCATTTGGGACAGACGTAGATTAGCAAAGTGAGGACGGCTCCCGGTTTGGCTGGTTGCTGGTGGGGGTCTAATTTCTGAATGCTGGACTCAGGGCAGGCATGGCTGGGGAGAGGCAGGGAGGGGCAGGCAGGAGACTGGGGAGTGGGGGATCTGAAGACCCCAGGGATCTTCAGCGCACGAGTGTGCATGTTGTGAACGCCCGCACGGAGGGAGCCGTGTGAGGGGAAGGCTGGGTGCTTTGGACTGGGCCAGTTACAGGGGCCTAGTGACGTCAATGATGGATACTGTCCCCCGGTTGGGGACAGGCTGAAGACAGACTGAAGACTTCTCAAATGTTAGTAACGACACCCTCACTCTGGTCAAAGTGAAAACTGCACACAAGAAGCCTAAGTGAGACTGGTGGGAATGGCATGCCACCAAATGGCAGCCAGCTGCCAGGGACCGTCATGCCAACGTTTATCCCAAAGCCTTTTCTTGAGACAGCTAAGGAAGGAGCATTGGCAGGGCAATCTGCAGCTGGAGCAGTCACAGGGTTTCCAACCACGACAAGCAGACGCCTGCGCCCTGCATGCACAGCCAGGCCCCAACCAGGGTTCTGCCATCAGCCCTTCCTGGAAAAGCTCTGCAGGTTTCTGGAAATATCCAGACGACTCTGGAGGACCCAGCTGTGGTCCCTGCCATGGCGCCGCTGGCACGCCCACGGCTGGTATGCAGCACCATGGCTGCTTTTACCCCAGAAACGAGCAGCAGACTCCCCGGGCGCCTTCCTCACAGCTGCCACCACGCTGAAGCAGGGCACTTTCCAACCAAAGCCACCACAGCAACTGTTAATGTCACCAAGGTTCCCACTGCCAAGAGCAACAAGAAAATCTGTGCTCCTTTAACGGACGCCAGAAAGTCTTTCGCAACTTAGTCCAGAAAGGGGCCTAAAACCAGCAAGCAAATCTGAGGGCGCCCAGGCTGACAGCCGTGCCACCAAAATAGTGCCGTGTGCCCGGGCACAGGTGAGGGATCTTTCCAGAAGCTTAGAATTATTACCACGTGGTTCTGAAGTAACGCATTTCATTAAGTGTTTTGTGAAGGACATAAAGCCCCCTGGGGGACACGAGAATGCCTTCGTTGGGTCTGGAATCGCCTCCCACAAACAAACGGAGAAACAGTCAAAGGCGGCCTAAGACCTGGGAAATCAGGAGCAGTGGCCTATATACAAAATCAGGGCCAAAATCTTTTACTTTCTATTTGAATTTACAACCATATACAGACAATACGGTAAGATTTTAGAGAAAACAGATCATCACTATGAATATCCATATTCTGATTTCTTTTGAGAACCAAGATGCCTTTTAAAATGCTGCTGCTTAGAAGAGCACGTGTTGTCTGTCTGGTGTCTAGGTCTTGTCTGCTACAAAACAAACGAAGACACCCTGTGTAACAAAATCAGATTTTAACATTTAAATCTTGATTCCAATATTCCTCACCGATATCATCATATGAAAGAAATAAGCCTTTTTTTTTTTAAACAAAGTTTCAATTCAGAATTTTTACAAACAAAAACAATCTTGTATCTACTTACTATCACTATATTCTCAAAAAGCAAGTTCAGGAAATTTAAAAATGATTTTTATAAAAGGCACTGAAGTTAGCAAAAGCATTGGTGGGTTTTCATTTTGGATGAAACACTGGAAATGTTCACAGAGTAACAACTGTGTGAGCAGGTGCCCGTAACACCCAGGAAGAAACCGACCTCCAGTTAGTACCTCCTGAGCACCTAGGCAGCTCCTCACACATTCTGACCACAGACCTTCATTCAAGCCAAGGTGAAGGCTACAATCAACACGGCAAGGAACCCAAATGGGACTTAAACCTCTGAACGCAACACTCTTTATAAAGGAGATCCCCACTGAAATGAGTTCCAAAATAAAGGGTAACTTTATCGTATAATCATTTATGCTCAAAAAAGCCTCAGAATAAACTTCAAAACAGAACAATTACAGCTTGTATTACTGCTACACTGGCACCTGAACAAAGCAGGCAGTGAAGGCTCGCATGCTGAGGAAACAGGGAACACCTGGGCTCCACTGCTGCTGAGCTCTGCGTGGCTCCTGACACCGCTCCTACGGGCTGCAAGACTTCCCACAGAGAAAAGCTACTTTTATCTTCCGATCAGTAACTTAAATATTCCGAACAACCCAAATTACAACAGTTGCTGCGAGTCTGAGGCGCACTCCGGGCTCCCTGATCCCAGCCGTCCACCTCACTCTGTCTGAACCATGAGACCCACGAGCGAACTAACAGGGACTCTGCCAGCATCATGCCACCCCCTGCCCCAGCCCAGGAAAAGACAAGGCGGCAAACAATTCATCTTGGTGAGCGCAGGCAGCGCGGGGACATCACTGCTCACGCCTCCGCCAAGTCCTTCCTTGTCCACAGCGTTTGTTGGATGCTGTGGTGAGTACCTGGCTGCCTGCCTGCAACTGCCTCAGCACCCTTTCCTCTGCTACATTTCAGACCTAGAAATTGCCACCTAAAAAGTCCACCACTACCACATGGACATTTTCCAGAAAATTGGTATCTGAGTTTGCTTTCATTAACTTCTAACTTCCAAAATATCAGAAATCTAAGTTTTATATAAAACATTTAAATCTTCTAAAATTCTCACACCCTCAAAGTGAGGATTAATAATAATTTAATCAGAATATATTCCTTTGTGACAGTTTAGCAACAAACATATGATCTTTCCTTCTTTAAAACTGAAGAACCAACGGAGAGCCCAGTGCTAAGCCTACAGGGCGGCAAGCTCAGCCAGGCGCGCCATCCTGCGGAGCTGGTTCCCGTGCGCGGGGCTGTAGCGCCCAGGACTGCCCGGGCCCGGCTTTCCGGGGTTGCTCCCAGCTGCACTGTTTCTCCCCGGACTGTAGCTGTGAGGGCCACTGAGATCTGGCAGCCGAGACTTGAACTTTCCTTTCACCGCGGGACTGGGCCAACTGCGGAAAGCAAGAAAGAACTGTTAGCAGACGGGCAGGCCGGGAGATGAACAGCGAGAGAGTGGGAAAATAATGGCCCAGGACTCACGCACACGCGCCCGGGCAGAGAGGCACTGCTGAACCCTGGCACTGTGGGCACACACACCCGGGCAGAGAGGCACTGCTGAACCCTGGCACCGTGGGCACACATGCCCGGGCAGAGAGGCACTGCTGAACCCTGGCACCGTGGGCACACACGCTCAGGGGGAGGAGAGGCACTGCTGAACCCTGGCACCGTGGGCACACGCCCGGGCAGAGGAGAGGCACTGCTGAACCCTGGCACCGTGGGCACACATGCTCGGGGGAGGAGAGGCACTGCTGAACCCTGGCACCAAGGGCACACGCACCCGGGCAGAGGAGAGGCACTGCTGAACCGTGGCACCGTGGGCACACACGCCCGGGCAAAGGAGAGGCACTGCTGAACCCTGGCACCGTGGGCACACATGCCCGGGCAGAGGAGAGGCACTGCTGAACCCTGGCACCGTGGGCACACACGCCCAGGCAGAGGAGAGGCACTGCTGAACCCTGGCACCAAGGGCACACGCACCCGGGCAGAGGAGAGGCACTGCTGAACCGTGGCACCGTGGGCACACATGCCTGGGCAGAGGAGAGGCACTGCTGAACCCTGGCACCGTGGGCACACACGCCCGGGCAGAGGAGAGGCACTGCTGAACCCTGGCACCGCGGGCCCATGGGCCTGGGCGAAGAGGAGGAGGAGAGGCACTGCTGAACCCTGGCACCGCGGGCACACGTGCCCGGGCAGAGAGGCACTGCTGAACCCTGGCACCGTGAGCACACACGCTCAGGGTGAGGAGAGGCACTGCTGAACCCTGCCACCGTGGGCACACGCACCCGGGCAGAGAGGCACTGCTGAACCCTGGCACCGCGGGCACATGCGCCCGGGCGGAGAAGAGGCACTGCTAAACCCTGGCACCAACTGGGAGAGTCAAGCTCATGGGGGTTTCCAGGAGAATCCTGTGTGATCTGAGTAGAAACCCTGCTGCTTCCACCCCTCTAGCCCTCAGCTTGTCAGCAGCTGACCCGTTCGGCTTTTCCACCCAACTGGAGATCTGTCCTGTATGCAGAGCCACAACACCCAAACCCACAGCCTGGCTGACGGGCCTGCCGGCGTTAGGAAGAGCCACTGATACTTCCGCATGAACTGGAACTGGACCCTGCAGAAGCCAGCTTCCAACAGCTGCCCTGCGGATAACAGGCTGTCTGGGGCCCATGTACCTCTGTCTGTCCGAGGGTGAGTAGCACAGGACAGCAGTCTTCCATCTGTGCACGGCTGGGAACTGATGGGGGTCGACATCTGCACACTCAAGAGCAGCCAAAACATCCTGATCGAGTTTTGACGGCTCCTCTCTAGAAACCACAATACAAGAAGCAAAAACATCTTTGGTAAAAACATGAAGACCTCTAAAATAGCACTACTTTTTTTTTTTTTATTTTGAGACGGAGTCTCGCTCTGTTGCCCAGGCTGGAGTGCAGTGGCGCCATCTCGGCTCACTGCAAGCTCCGCCTCCCAGGTTTACACTATTCTCTGCCTCAGCCTCCCAAGTAATTGGGACTACAGGCGCCCGCCACCACCCCCGGCTAATTTTTTGTATTTTTAGTAGAGATAGAGTTTGGCCATCTTGGCCAGGCTTGTCTTGAACTCCTGACCTCATGATCCACCCACCACGGCCTCCTAAAGTGCTGGGATTACAGGCTTCAGCCACCGCGCCCGGCCTCCACCCACTGTTAAAATGCAGTTTTGCATATTTGCACCCTCAGTGCTCAGTACCAGAAGGTTAGGGACATTTATCCTGTTAGACTGAGACTGACCCCAAGATGGCTTTTCTTCCTAAAAGAATTTAATTCTTAGAAGAGATCATTCACACCAGTGGCAGGCACATCCCTAGCAAATAACAGCAAACACGAGGATCACCCACAGTCCAACCAGAAGAAGACCCAGAAAGAACGTCTAGAAGCTAGACTCAGAGACGGGAACTGAAAGCACATGGCGAGTCCACACGAAAGCTTGTGTGGGGGTCGGCGCGGTGGCTCCCGCCTGTAATCCCAGCACTTTGGAAGGCCAAGGCAGGTGGATCGCGGGGTCAGGAGTTCGAGACCAGCCTGGCCAACATGGCGAAACCCTGTCTCTACTAAAAATAGAAAAATCAGGCCGGGCGTGGTGGCTCAAGCCTGTAATCCCAGCACTTTGGGAGGCCGAGACGGGCGGATCACGAGGTCAGGAGATCGAGACCATCCTGGCTAACACAATGAAACCCCGTCTCTACTAAAAAAATACAAAAAACTAGCCAGGTGAAGTGGCGGGCGCCTGTAGTCCCAGCTACTCAGAAGGCTGAGGCAGAAGAATGGCGTAAACCCGGGAGGCGGAGCTTGCAGTGAGCCGAGATGCGGCCACTGCACTCCAGCCTGGGCGACAGAGCGAGACTCTGTCTCAAAAAAAAAAAAAAAAAAAAAAAGCCAGGCGCGGTGGCTCACGCCTGTAATCCCAGCACTTTGGGAGGCTGAGGTGGGTGGATCACAAGGTTAGGAGATCGAGACCACGGTGAAACCCCGTCTCTACTAAAAATACAAAAAATTAGCCGGGCGAGGTGGCGGCGCCTGTAGTCCCAGCTACTCGGGAGGCTGAGCCAGGAGAATGGCGTGAACCCAGGAGGCGGAGCTTGCAGTGATCCGAGATCGCGCCACTGCACTCCAGCCTGGGCGACAGAGCGAGACTCCGTCTCAAAAAAAATAAATAAAATAAAATAAAATAAAATAAAAAAAAGAAAAATCAGCCAGGCGCGGTGGCAGGCACCTGTAGTCCCAGCTACTCGGGAGGCTGAGGCAAGAGAATCACTTGAACCCAGGAGGTGGAGGTTACAGTGAACCGATATCACGCCACTGCACTCCAGCCTGGGCGACACAGCGAGACTCCATCTCAAAAACAGAAAGCAAGCAAGCGTGAGTGGGAAAGGAGCAGGTTCGGAAACAGCACCGCAGGCGTGCACAGGGCAACACAAGCCTACCCAAAAAGGAAAAGCCGCCTGGCCGGTTCCCTCGTGACCTCCAGCTGACCCTCGTGCCCGGGGCTGCTGGGACTCAAGGACATTTTAGCGATCCTGGCTGACATTTCGCTTTCCGTCCTCCTGCGGCCGGTCCCCAGTTGGTCTGCGGGAGGAGGCGGCTCTAACAAGTCTCTTTCTACGGCATCGATTCTTGAAGTCAGGATCTTATCTTTAGTTTTCGTATTTTCATCTGGTGTCTTAGAAACGCTACTTCCTACATTTTGCAAATTCAGTTTATCAAACTCAACAGTCAAATCCGAGACAGGTGGCAGATGGGCTTCCTCCCCACGGGGCGCCTTTGGTCTCTTGCCCACCAGGGTCCTGCTGTGACTCAGAGGATGGCAGAGCCCATTTCTGCTGCTGTGTGGACCGCCTGGCTCGGCGGCTTCTATGAGGTCTGCCTCCTGCTCCAAGGGGAAGATGCTGCACCTCGCATATCCAAAAGCACCAACTGTGGGCGGGCTGTTATTTCGAGCTGCATTTTGCCGATTTTTTATTTCTTCCAAGCTCATGTCATCTTCATCTAGAAACGCCCTCACAGAAATGGAGTTGCTGCCTGTGAGGAGGACAAGGAGCACTTCAGTGACAGGAATGACAGGAAGCCATGGAGCTGCTCCGCTCCGTCCGTGACCAACCGCCATGACCCCAGCAACCACAACTCTTACATTCAAATCCTACTCATCAGATTTCACAATGGAAAACCACCCACACGACTCCCCGGGAAAGGGCAAACAGGACCCTGCAGATGCAATCAGGCTGCTGGGCCAGGCGCGGAAGCTCACACCTGCAATCCCGGCATTCTGGGAGGCCACGGCAGGGGGGTCGCCGGACCCCAGGAGTTCAAGACTGCCTGGGCAACATAGCGAAACCCCGTTCTCTATAGAAAAATTAGCTGCCATGGTGGCACTCACCTGTAGTCTCAGCTATTTGGGAGGCTCGAGTGGGAGGATCACTTGAGCCCAGGAGGTGGAGGCTGCAGTGGGCTGTGATGCCCCAGCCTGTGCCACAGAGTGAGACCCTACTTCAGGGAAGGAGGAAAAAAAAAGCTGCCAGGCTGACTTCTTTTCTTTCAAAGGAAGGGAAATGAAAGGCCAAGGGCCGCCCAGGTGATGGGTGAGATGACCGCCCTGCACCCCCAGCTGCCCTCCAGCCCTCACTCCAGCTCTGATCTACTGCAACCCCAGGGGCTCCGAGTGTCACAGAGCCCCACAGGATCCCAGAAGATTGTGCAGAACAACTCCATGAAGCAGCACTGCTGCGCTTTAGCTGTGAAGACAACATGGAAGAGCTCCTGGGCGCAGCCCTGTCCGACAGGCAACAGAAATGTCCCATTTGGTGTTCACGATGACGACCCTGGCCACAAGGGGGTCCAGAACACTTGAACTGTGGCTCGTGCTCCTTAGGAAATGAGTCAACTTTATGTAATAGTTATTAATTAAAATGTACATAGTCACAAGACAACACAGGAAGTGAGGCCACTTCATAGAAGGGAGTTCTGTGCCACCGTCAGCTACAGCACAGCAAGGTCAGATTTCAGTGCTTCCCGTATAACCACTGCACTGACTTCTCTCTAGTTCTATGGTTGAGAGTCACAGGTGACTTTCCAAGATTCATTGCTTCTTAGTTTAATGTATGTCAGTCATTTTCATTTTCTATCATTCCAGGGAGTTTGTTTTATAAATGAAGTGTCTTGTGGGCTAATGGCTCTATTCTGACCTTACACATTCACACTCACACACACACACACACTCACACTCTCACACACACACTCACACACACACACTCACACACACACACACTCTCACACACTCTCACACACTCTCACACTCTCACACACGCTCACACACACACACTCTCACACTCTCTCACACACACTCTCTTTGACATGCACACTCACACACTCACACAGTTTAAACTGTATATCTGCTTTTTTAGCAGATTCAAATCTCTATTAGTAAATTTGTTTTTTTAAAAAATAGAGACGGAGTCTCACTATGTTGCTCAGGCTGCTTTCGAACTCCTGGGCTTCAGGAATCCACCCACCTCGGCCTCCCAAAGTGCTGGGATTACAGGCGTGAGCCGCCGCACCTGGCCATCATTGATGTTTTTATGAATCACTTTTAGATTTTGTGTAGATAGGCTGGGCGCGGTGGCTCACGCCTGTAATCCCAGCACTTTGGGAGGCCGAGGCGGGCGGATCACAAGGTCAGGAGATCGAGACCACGGTGAAACCCCGTCTCTACTAAAAATACAAAAAATTAGCTGGGCGCGGTGGCGGGCGCCTGTAGTCCCAGCTACTCAGGAGGCTGAGGCAGGAGAATGGCGTAAACCCAGGAGGCGGAGCTTGCAGTGAGCCGAGATCGCGCCACTGCACTCCAGCCTGGGCGACAGAGTGAGACTCCGTCTCAAAAAACAAAAAAAAAAAAAAAAAAAAAAAAATGATTTTGTGTAGATTAACCTCTTCCAGCATGATCTTTCCATTCACTGCATCCGTGCTTTGGAAGCACTTTGCATCCCAGTGTCTGAAATGCACCGCGTGAAGCGCTTAGCGTCCCGGTGTCTGAAATGCACCGCATGAAGCGCTTAGCGTCCCGGTGTCTGAAATGCACCACGTGAAGCGCTTAGCGTCCCGGTGTCTGAAATTCACCACGTGCGTCCCGGTGTCTGATATGCACCGCGTGAAGCGCTTAGCGTCCCGGTGTCTGAAATGCACCGCGTGAAGCGCTTAGCGTCCCGGTGTCTGAAACGCACCGCGTGAAGCGCTTAGCGTCCCGGTGTCTGAAATGCACCGCGTGAAGCGCTTTGCGTCCCGGTGTCTGAAATGCACCGCGTGAAGCGCTTTGCATCCCGGTGTCTGAAATGCACTGCGTGAAGCGCTTTGCGTCCCCGTGTCTGATATGCACCGCGTGAAGCGCTTTGCGTCCCGGTGTCTGATATGCACCGGTATTCTGGTGTGCACTCCTCTTTGTCTTTTTCCTGAAAATATGCTAAATCTAAAATATCATAGTCTCAGCCAGTGGAGTTCAGCTATTATGAGTTTTGAAAAAATGGCACAGAATGAAACATATTAGATTTTGGGTAATGAAAAAACAAGCAGAAATAGCAATACTGCTGAAAGCGATGTCATTATTTTTCAAATATCCTCCCCAACACACACCCCATTTAACATTAACCTTCCCAGCACTCTGGGAGGCCGAGGTCAGGAGTTCAAGACCAGCCTGGTCAATATGGTGAAACCCTGTCTCTACTAAAACAAAATACAAAAATTAGCCGGGTGTGGTGGCAGGCGCCTATAGTCCCAGCTACTCAGGAGGCTGAAGCAGAAGAATCGCTTGAACCCAGGAGGTGGAGCTTGCAGTAAGCCAAGATTGTGCCACTGCACTCCAGCCTCAGTGACAAAGCAAGATTCCGTCTCAAAAAACATTAACCTAAATGAAAGTACCAGACAGACCTCTACATTAAAAACACCGACAGAAATGAGAAACAGATGTGTGTATCCTGTCAGACCCCGGCCACGGGGGGCCCGTCCCAGCTGCCACGGCCACGTCTGCACGTGTTTAGACCCCGGCCACAGGGGGACCCGTCCCAGCTGCCACGGCCACGTCTGCACGTGTTTAGACCCCGGCCACAGGGGGACCCGTCCCAGCTGCCACGGCCACGTCTGCACGTGTTTAGACCCCGGCCACGGGGGGCCCGTCCCAGCTGCCACGGCCACGTCTGCACGTGTTTAGACCCCGGCCACGGGGGGCCCGTCCCAGCTGCCACGGCCACGTCTGCACGTGTTTAGACCCCGGCCACGGGGGGCCCGTCCCAGCTGCCACGGCCACGTCTGCACGTGTTTAGACCCCGGCCACGGGGGGCCCGTCCCAGCTGCCACGGCCACGTCTGCAGGAGCTTACCAGACATGGTGGCTTTATCTCGGCAGGAGGCTTCCCTTTCTCCTGTTTCTTGTTGAGCCTTTTTGCCTATTTCCTGCTGTGTGAGATATTCTTCTAGTCTTTGCAGGCCTTCCTGGGAAGACAGATCAACAAAACAGCCCAGAAATTCCCAGTATTCAACCCAGGGATACCCCAGCTCATGAGCTAGCTCTCTGTAAGAAATAAAACACAATTAACCAGTTACGACAACAGAAAAAATACTCAGAACTACACAGAAAAAAGCCACTAAAGCTTCAAGTACCAGAGCAATGTCTGCAATCATGGCTATAATTTTACTTTATCCTTAACTGGCGGCTAAAATCACACTTCGCATTTTCTGAAACCGCACTCCTCCTCACACTTCGCATTTTCTGAAAACGCACTCCTCCTCACAGGGTAAGCAGGACCCGGCAGAGCTCTCATGAGCTGTGAACCGGCCGCGGGAAGGAAGGAGGCCTCAGCCCGACAGATCCTCACGCCAGCAACCCAGGTCACACAGTTCAGCTCCCACAGACGGACGTGTTCATGACCACGGAACAGCCCTGTGAACTTGCCCGTGGTTCTAGTCACGGCACACGAAAGCCTGGAGGTCCTTCTGGGTTCCACTTGTACACCTGACAACGGGCACGTATTTTGCAAAAATATTCTAAACAATACCACGAAGCTTTATTTGATTACAACACAACTTAGCTTTGTGGCTGTGCACTTCTTTTCCCCAAGGAATCCATACCATTATGCAGTACCTTCTATAAAATATTAAGGCTCCTTAGAAACATGTCCCAGAATCAATAAAGAACTCCAACTAGAAAAGGAAAGAAGGCACTGCAGACATCCCCCAGGTGTGGGATGGAACTGGCTTAAGCTAGAATTCTGCAACAACAACTGCAGCGTGTCCAACATCCACAAGGAATTAGACCTTCATGAAAAGAACCAAGTCTCCCAGTAAAGGCTTCCTGGCAATTGGTACTTAGAAGCTGTGATTTGATTTTCCGTCATTAATGAAAACACGACCAACTGCGTGCTCCACAGTGCCACGGCTCAGCCTTTCAGTACCTTCCCACTCTCTCAAAGCCTCTTTCTGGGTCTGATTTCTTGACGTGGTGAAGGAAGCCTGCTTTCTCTCGAGGTGGAGTTTTCCAGAGTTTGCGAAAATCTTCTGCCTATGAAGAAAAAAAAATGTATTGAGCCGTGCCAGGCACCACGCCCCTCATCTGGGGAAATCGCAGCAGCTGCCTGTCTCCTGACGCCCCTCCTTCTCTCCCCTTCACTAGCAGATCCCTGGGCCACATGCCCACCTGTGGCATGGCTGAGTGGCCGCATGGCTGCACTCTGACCTGGGGGAGGGGAGGCGATCTCCTTTCTTGCAGCCCAGTCTGGGCTGTGAGGTTCAGAACCAGGAGGGCCCGAGCGTGAGGCCTCACCCTGAGGACAGCAGACGGCTTGGAGCTGCCACACCGACACACATCTAACACTGCTCCCATCGCAGGAGAAGAAACCAGCGTTGATCTTTCTTAGTCACTCTTCCTAGGGCTTTATGCTTTATGGATCTGACCTAATCCTACCTGATACCACCTAATTTTGGAGCCATTTTTTTTTTCTTTTGAGACAGAGTCTGTGATCTCGGCTCGCTGCAAGCTCCGCCTCCCGGGTTCCCACCATTCTCCTGCCTCAGCCTCCTGAGTAGCTGGGACCACAGGCGCCCACCACCATGCCTGGCTAACGTTTTGTATTTTTTTAGTAGAGACGGGGTTTCACCGTGTTAGCCAGGATGGTCTCCATCTCCTGACCTCGTGGTCTGCCCACCTCAGCCTCCCAAAGTGCTGGGATTACCAGGCGTGAGCCACCGCGCCCGGCCTGGAGCCATTTTCATCATAACTTATTTAGAAAGTTTTCAGGACAGGATTATATGTACAAGTCAGTATGTGAAATATTTCAATAGGAGAAAGAATTGAATTGTCAATTATAAATAAAAAAACGTGTACAACCTTTGGCCCACCAACACCATCATCAAGGATTTCTCCGAACATCGGGGATGAACCCGGGGGCTGAGGCTTCCAGGAGAGGGACTGGCCTGGAGCATTTCGTCTGAGAGGAAGCCAGTGGGGGCTGCAGCCATGGGGAAATGTGGTCAGGTGGACGTGCAGATGGAGCTTTCCTAGTCACAACGGGCAGCCTCGCTACACCAGCAAGGTGCCCTGAGATGGGCCGTCGACACAGAAAGAACAGGGCGACGCGTGCACAGGACGCGGCTGGCCCAGGGAATATCTGCTTTGTTGAGACGTGTGGCTCCCAGCACACCGGCCCTGGTGAGCAAGCCACAGAGCCAAGAACACACATTTCTCTGGCCGGTGTTCTCACCACCACTCACTGGTGGACGGTTTGAGATGAGGACAGCCCTGGGCTCCACAGGACGTGGCCCCTGAGACTACGCACAGGCCAAGGCTGGAACACTCAGAACTGCAGCATAGGGACAGCCAGGCACCGCTTCCAGAAGCTTCGAGAGCAGCTCACCTTGGCTGGACTCAGGGGCCCCGCGAAGGCTCTCAGGGTCAGCACTGGGTCTCGGGGGCTGCCTCCATGGCGGCTGACGTGAGAGGCCTCAGCCGTCTGGTCTGGGGACCACAGCTCCCCAATGACTGGAGAAGAAGTGTCTTCTGCTCTCAGGAGAGGCACGTAGTAGTGACCTGAGGGAAGAAACAAGCACTGGCTGCAGGCTTCTGCCCCCTCCGCAGGTCAGGTCTGGTGATCAGCACGGGGGTCACACAAGCCCTTGCCAAGGCCTCTGCAAATGGATCCAATGGACAGGGCAGAGGCTGGTTTGCGCCAGAGCTCCCTTCACTTAATGCAAATGGATGCAATGGAAACAAAGTCACACGAGGTCTCAGAGCTCACTTCACTTAACCAGCCTCACTTTCCTCCACTGCTACAAGAAAGAAAAGAAAAGGAAGCCCCAGGTAGTTAAAGGACTGAGGGGTCAGACCTGAGTGAATAAGATTAGCACACAATAGGCGCTTAATACATTTTAAAAATAAGTTATATTTCATTCCAGCCAGGTGCGGTGGTTCACGCCTGTAATCCCACCACTTTGGGAGGCTGAGGTGCACGGATCACTTGAGGTCAGGAGTTCAAGACCAGCCTGGCCAACATGATGAAACCCCATCTCTACTAAAAATACAAAAATTAGCTGGGTGTGGTGGCACACGCCTACTCAGGAGGCTGAGACAAGAGAATCACTTGAACTCAGGAGGTGGAAGTTGCAGTGAGCCGAGATCACGCCACTACACACCAGCCTGAGCGACAGAGTGAGAATCTGTTTCAAAAACCAAAAAAAAAAAGTTTTATTTTATTCCTTCTCTCTTTTCCCCTCTTAGTTTCAGACAGTCTCACTCCGTCACCCAGGCAGGAGTGCTGTGGTATGATCATGGCTTACGCAGCCTCCAACTCCCAGGCTCAAGTGATCCTCCCACCTCATACTCTTGAGTGGCTGGGACAACAGGCGCCACCACACCTGGCTAATCTTTTACTTTTTGTAGAGATGGGGTCTTGCTCTGTTGCCCAGGCTGGTCTCGAATGCCTGGATGCAAGCGATCATCCCACCTCCACCTCCAAAAGTTCTGGGATTACAGGTGTGGGCCGCCGTGCCTGGCCTCCTTGTTTCTCAATTCTGCCTCTGTGGTATTTTATCATAGGTGTGGGCCGCCGTGCCCGGCCTCCTTGCTTCTCAATTCTGCCTCTGTGGTATTTTATCACAGGTGTGGGCCGCCATGCCCGGCCTCCTCGCTTCTCAGTCCTGCCTCTGTTCTAGTTTACAGTTTGCATCACTGAATACGCATCTCTCAACAGATCTGGCATCACACGGCACTTGGATGTGAAGTATGGAAAGCACAAGGAAAAGTAATGTCCTCAGGTCCCATGGGACAGTGCAATAAAGTCACACAGGATAGTGTCATGAGGTTCTGTAGGTTGCATGGAGGCCACACACCACCTCGTCCTGCTTTCAAACACAGACCCTGGAGACCTAGACTCAAGAGGCTTCCTTTACAGTCAGTCACGCTGCTCAGGAACGCCTGGGAATTTCTTATGTTAAAGGCTTATTATAGTTTTTTTTTTTTTTTTTTTTTTTTTTTTGGAGACGGAGTCTCGCTCTGTCGCCCAGGCTGGAGTGCAGTGGCGTGATCTCGGCTCACTGCAAGCTCCGCCTCCCTGGTTCACGCCATTCTCCTGCCTCAGCCTCCCGAGTAGTTGGGACTACAGGCGCCGCCACCACGCCTGGCTAATTTTTTTGTATTTTTAGTAGAGACAAGGTTTCACCATGTTAGCCAGGATGGTCTCGATCTCCTGACCTCGTGATCCGCCCACCTCGGCCTCCCAAAGTGCTGGGATTACAGGCATGAGCCACTGTGCCCAGCACTTATCATAGTTTTTATGCTTTTAATTTTTTTCTAATTGTAAAAGTGCTGTATGCCCATCAACAGTCGACTGGATAAAGAAAATGTGGTACGTATCGACCACGGGATATTAAGAACAAGATCATGTCCTCTGAAGCCACATGGATGGAGCTGGAGCTGTGACCCTAAGGGAACTGACACAGGCAACAAAACCAAACACAGCTCTCGCTTATGAGAGGAAGCCAAACGCTGAGACACATGGACGCAAAGAAGGAACAACAGTCAGCAGGGCCTGCTTGAGGGTGGAGGGAGGGAGGAGGAGGGAGAGGACTGAACCTACACTGATCACCTGGTGAAATAATCCACCCCCTACACCCCGGTGATGTGCAAGTTACTGATACTACAAACCTGCATGTGCACCCCTGGACCTAAAACGGAAGTTAAGAAAAAGTACGGTAATTTCCATTCAAGAGTACTGAAGGTACTGAAGAATTTCCACTCAAGAGTACTAATTTTCCATACTGAAAATTAGGGTAACTCAAATACTCTATCTTACATTTTAATATCTTATATTTGAATGCATCATATGTACGTTGGCATTTTACAGGTAATGGCAGTTTTTTCCCTCTTTTAGTGGTACATGAAAAGAAAACATATAGTATATACAGTATACGGTGCATGGTAAGTATACGGTAGAATTTACCTATAATTTACTCATAAAATACTAACGTTTACTTTTTTGGCATATTGATTTGAGTCCTTTTTAACAATTTCTATCTACAGATGAACTCACGGTCTCTGGACAGTTTTGTGCCTGGCTTTCTGATCCTATTTGTCCCTCATAACACTTTAGAGCCCCTCATCTTCACACAAGCGTGGGTCTCTCTGAGTGGCGGGAAGGGTGGGATGCAGGACGCAGCCAGCCCTGCAGCAGGCTCTGTGGCATGTGAAGCTAGTGACCGAGGCCCCAGCATGACCACAGACGCTGACCATGCCTGGGCTTTGCACGAGCCTCAGAAGGACCAGGAAGGAGATGCAGGCACTCTGGAGGTGCTGTGTAGCTCAGCCCACAGGAACATGGATCTCACAGTGCTGCCTTCTCCTCAGCAAACAGCTGCTGGGGCAGATCTTAGAGGCAACAGTGTTTTACTATCACACATAGGCAAGGACTTCTCGGACAGAAGTACTTCCTCAGTACCATCGTGAAGCAATGCCTAATGTCAGGGTTGCAAAGCATTTCTGACAGCGTGGTTTAAAAATCCAGAGCAGACTCTCAGTTCTTCAGGATGTTCTGGCAACACAGCCGTGTGTTCCAAGGGCCTCCAAAAGTTCCAGCTGGGCCTCTGGAGCGAGGCCTCAATGGCCCTGAGGAGGAACTCTCAGCGCTAGCAGCATGCAGGATTCATGTCCTGTGCACAGCTACACACGCAGAAGAAGTATAATTAACAAATTACACTTAGGATGGGAAGAGATCAGGGGACAAGCAGAGGCTCTTGATACCTTAGAGTGGGGTTGGTACACTTCCATACAAGGTCAGACAGTAAATAATTAGGCTCAGTAGGCCACAAGTCACTGTGTGCTGGGAAAGAACCCGGACAGTGTACAAATGGTGGTCATAGCTTTGTGCCAATACAATTTTATTTTTAAAAGCAGTCATTTGCAGACCCTGCTTTAAATGGAGACAGAGTTTTAGACAGGAATGGAATCCGAGACAGAGAAAAACAGGCAGGAGGGCGAAAGGACCTCAGCGTCTGCTTCAATCTCACCAGCAAGCAGAAGCTCCAGACTTCGGGCTAAGACAGCAAAGAAGAGGCGCTTCTAGACGTGTCATCTTCCAAAGTTCACGAAAACAGAGGAAGATGGCAGGGAAAAGCCATCTCTGAAACCAGCCATTTTCACACGCCTGGCACCTACAAACCGCGAGGCACAGGGGCCAACTGGAAGCTGCTGACTACAGGAGGGCGGTCCAGAAAGTAAAGCCTCTCCCAAAGGCGAGTGGGGAGGGAACATCCCAGAGCCAAGGCAGGAGCCGGAGGAGGAGGAGGAGGAGGGCGGCGGCTTCGGAACCAAAGGAGTGACGGGGCGACCCCAGGGACGACCCCCACCCCAACACAGGCAGAGTGTGACGGGGCGACCCCAGGGAGTGACCCCAGGGACGACCCCCACCCCAACACAGGGAGAGAGTGACGGGGTGACCCCAGGGAGTGACCCCAGGGACGACCCCCACCCCAACACAGGGAGAGAGTGACGGGGTGACCCCAGGGAGTGACCCCAGGGACGACCCCCACCCGAACGCAGGCAGAGAGTGATGGGGCGACCCCAGGGAGTGACCCCAGGGATGGATGACCCCCACCCCAACACAGGCAGAGGGTGACGGGGCGACCCCAGGGAGTGACCCCAGGGACGACTCCCACCCCAACACAGGCAGACACACAAAAGCCAGGCCAGCCACCCAACCAAGGAGCTCTGGGCCCTGCCTCTCCCTGAGCTGTTCTTTGTCAACTGCAGGCTCTACCTGAAGAGAAGCCATCACAATGAAGCTGCTGTGGGAGAGACCTGTGGATCCAGGGGTGAGGCCACGGGCAACAGGCAGCGACACACAACCTCAAAAAAGTTCTCTCACAGAAAGCTCAAGGAACAGATACAAGACTTCAGAGAAGGGATAATAGGAAAAGAGGGGGCAAGTGAGCTGGGAGAGCTCAGAAGAAAGGATGATCCCGAGAAGAGGCTTCCGAGGGGAGCCGGCACACGCCCGGGGAGCTCAGAAAAGCAAAGCTCTGCTCTGTTCCCCCAACACTCCAAGGCCCTTCCCACCACGGATCCCACGATCCAGGCACCAACTCCCCATCTTACCCTTTAAATACTCTCTGATCCGCTCCTTCAGTTCCACAGATTTATTTTTGCTTCTTTCACAAATCACCTATTGAATAAAAAGTGTGTCTAAATCTTATTTGATTGCAATATTTCCTTATCATTACAATGATTTTAGAAAAGTAAGTTTTAAAGTCAGTAAAGCAGAATAGTATCTTAGTGCTAAAGATTTAATAAAGCTCACAATCAAAAAATGTGTGAAGAGTGCAGTCTTTCTAAAAGTCTAAGGGGACAGCTAAGAGAACACCCTCTGGGATTATGGGTAAATTTACTTTTTCTTCATGCTATTCTGCATTTTCTAACTAACTGTCTGCAAGGAGAGGAAAACATACAAGCACACGGTCAAGTAAAAGCAGGAGGCATGTGAACATGTTTCTAACTTTCTCAGGTGTCTGAGTTTCACTTACAAGAAGCCTCATCGGCCGGGCGCGGTGGCTCAAGCCTGTAATCCCAGCACTTTGGGAGGCCGAGACGGGCGGATCACGAGGTCAGGAGATCGAGACCATCCTGGCTAACCCGGTGAAACCCCGTCTCTACTAAAAAGTACAAAAAACCAGCCGCGCGAGGTGGCGGGCGCCTGTAGTCCCAGCTACTCGGGAGGCTGAGGAAGGAGAATGGCGTAAACCCGGGAGGCGGAGCTTGTAGTGAGCTGAGATCCGGCCACTGCACTCCAGCCTGGGCGACAGAGCAAGACTCCGTCTCAAAAAAAAAAAAAAAAAAAAAAAGCCTCATCATACATAAGCTTTTTGTTGTGAGGCTGGGTCAAGGTGGAGCTCCTAATTAACACGGAACAAGAATGTTCTATTTTTGCCACTACAGAAATCAAATTTCTCAGCCTTGGAGAACTGCAGCAAAATACAAACTTGTGCTAGAAACTACAGAAAAATCAACAACCCTCAAATAAAAGGAAGGAAAGGAGCCAGCCTGTGAGAGAAACTGACTAAAACTAGGAAAACAACCACATTTTTGAGTCTGTACTGGATTGTAAGCTTTAAAAAGTCAAATGCTCGGCCGGGCGCGGTGGCTCAAGCCTGTAATCCCAGCACTTTGGGAGGCCGAGGCGGGCGGATCACGAGGTCAGGAGATCGAGACCATCCTGGCTGACACGGTGAAACCCCGTCTCTACTAAAAAAAAAAAAAAATACAACCAAAAAAAAAAAAAAAAAAAAAAAAAAGTCAAATGCTTTTTAAAATGCCAGGAGTTAGGCCAGGCGCGGGGGCTCACGCCTGTAATCCCAGCACTTTGGGAGGCAGAGGCGGACAGATCATGAGGTCAGGAGATCAAGACCATCCTGGTCAACATGGTGAAACCCCGTCTCTACTAAAAATATAAAAAATTAGCCAGGTGTGTTGGCGGGCGCCTGTAGTCCCAGCTACTCGGGAGACTGAGGCAGGAGAATGGCGTGAACCTGGGAGGCGGAGCTTGCAGTGAGCCGAGATCGTGCTACTGCACTCCAGCCTGGGAGACAGAGTGAGACTCCGTCTCAAAAAATAAATAAAAAAATAAAAATAAAAAATTAAAATAAGGCCGGGCGCGGTGGCTCAAGCCTGTAATCCCAGCACTTTGGGAGGCCGAGGCGGGCGGATCACAAGGTCAGGAGATCGAGACCACAGTGAAACCCCGTCTCTACTAAAAATACAAAAAAATTAGCCGGGCGCGGTGGCGGGCGCCTGTAGTCCTAGCTACTCAGGAGGCTGAGGCAGGAGAATGGCGTGAACCCAGGAGGCGGAGCTTGCAGTGAGCCGAGATCGCGCCACTGCACTCCAGCCTGGGCAACAGCGTGAGACTCCGTCTCAAAAAAAAAAAAAAAAAAAAAAAAAAAAAAAAAAAAAATTAAAATAAAATGCCAGGAGTTTTTAGTTACCAAATGCCATTCTTATGCTGAATAAGTACAGATATTCTCACACACACACACACACAAATTAAATCATACATATGCAAAATAATGGCAATTTCTCAGTTGTAGAATTTTTTTTTTTTTTTTTGAGACGGAGTCTCGCTCTGTCGCCCAGGCTGGAGTGCAGTGGCCGGATCTCAGCTCACTGCAAGCTCCGCCTCCCGGGTTCCCGCCATTCTCCTGCCTCAGCCTCCCGAGTAGCTGGGACTACAGGTGCCTGCCACCTCGCCCGGCTAGTTTTTTGTATTTCTTAATAGAGACGGGGTTTCACCATGTTAGCCAGGATGGTCTCGATCTCCTGACCTCGTGATCCGCCCGTCTCGGCCTCCCATAGTGCTGGGATTACAGGCTTGAGCCACCGCGCCCGGCCTAGTTGTAGAATTTTCTGGTGAATTTTATTCTTTTTGGTCAAGCAGTATTTTAAATTTTCTATGGCAAGTGGATGTATTGCTTATGCAATAACAGCAGTTACAGAGGGGGTGTAGGAGAGGCCACTGTCACCGGAAGATTCTTACAGCTTTTATTTCTAAAGGGCTGCTAGACCGTGGACAGCTCACAGCTGTAATACACAGAAACATGAAACTTGTCTTTCAGTTCTCAGAAGGTCCAGATACGTCTGGCACTTTGTGGGCACAGAACGTACTTCTGCCCTTTGTAAGGTGCACTTTGCTCAGCTGCTCAGGGTCATGATGAGGCCTGACTGACCACGCTTTTCTGGGTCAGATGAGTACGTATGTGTGAGAAGCTTAGCACAGCGCTTGGTGCACACTAAGCTGAATACAATTTAGCTGCTTTCAGCATCGTCATCCTCACCACCATCGTCACCATCACCATCACCTCTGCCAACACCATCATCACTGCGATCTTCATCCTCACCATCACATCATCACCATCGCTATCTTCATCACCATCCTCACCACCATCATCCTCATCATCACAACCATCACCATCATCAGCATCATCATCCTCACTGTCACCATTCCCACAATCCTCACCACTACCACCATCACCACCTTCACCATCACCAGCATCACCATCATCACCACCATTCTCACTACCACCATCATCACCATAATCACCATCACCACCATCACACCATAATCATCACCATCATCATCACAACCATCATCATCCTCACCGTCACCATTACCACAATCCTCACCACTACCACCATCACCACCATTACCATCTTCAGTATCACCACCATCACCATCTTCACTATCACCACCATCATTCTCACTACCACCATCATCACTATCACCATCACCATCATTCTCACCAGCACCATCACCACCGTAATCATCACCATCACAACCACCACATCCTCACTGCCATCCCCATCACCACCACCATCACCATCATTCTACCACCGTCATCACCATCACCATCACCACCACCATCATTACTTCTGTTCTCTTTGACTCTGGTCAACTGACGTGTTCAGAAAGGGAACTTGATAAAAGACTGTGAGCTGTTTAAAGCAACTGACTGCCAGTTTTAGGAAAATAAAATCAGCAAACCGGGTCAGTTCCTTCCCTCCTGGTTCTACAGATGCATCATCTTCACAAAGTGCATCTGACCCAACAGCCAGGGTTCTAACATGTCCCATAAGGCAAACACACTCACACAGAGCTCCTTGTGGCTTCCCTGTGCCTGTGATAACAGACTGTCAATTTATGTCTTTTCATTTCTAACTCCAGATAGTAACTGAATTTTAATAAGTACTTACATCTTCAGGTGTTTTATCATATTTATTCCTTGGGTTTTTTACAATCAAATGGTGTGACGAAAGCACGTTGACTACATCTGCACTTCCAAACTTACAAGCAAAATGCAACGGTGTGTCATAGCCCTGAAAAAAGGTGCAGAGGAAGCACAATTATTCACACGTGTCTCATGAGGTTGCTCTAAGATGAAAATAGATATTTATACATTTATTTATTGATTTTATTTTATTTTTTGAGACAGAGTCTCACTCTGTTGCCCAGGCTGGAGTGCACTGGCGTGATCTTGGCTCACTGCAATCTCTGCCTCCTGGGTTTAAGCGATTCTCCTGCCTCAGGCTCCCCAGTAGCTGGGACTACAGGCACCTGCCACCACATCCTTTTTTTTTTTTTTTTTTTTTTAGTAGAGACGGGGTTTCACCATGTTGGTCAGACTGATCTCAAACTCCTGACCTCAGGTGATCCACCCGCCTTGGCCTCCCAAAGTGCTGGGATTACAGGCGTGAGTCACCCCACCCGGCTTCTACTTTTTTTTTTTTTAAAAGACTCACAAACAAAAAGGCCATATAAGACGCTACTTTTATAACAGAAAAATAACTGGCATTCTAGCACATACCCACTTCATGCCAAGGCTTGAGCTCAGCACACTGACCCGGGTGCCCAGGCCCTGGAGGAGCTTAAATTCTCCATAAACAGCGAACAGTAGCTTTAACCAGTACAGGGCCCAGTACAACGTCATGTAAAACATGCCCAGAAAATGAAATACACAGATGGGGACCACAATCGGAATAAAGCAAAGCCCACGAATTTGGCCTGTACTCAAAGAAAAGTCTCTGTGGCACGTGACACCCAGTAAACGAAACTCTTCACTGCTGACGATGCTGCACCACGCCCTGACTGGGAACCCAGGTCTCTGTCCATGACGCTGCGTCACGCCCTCCCTCCCCCATGGGGTCGCAGGTCTCCACGCCATCTGCCTGGAGTTCCCACAGCTGCACCTCTGATCCTTCCTTATGCTCTGGGCAGTCTCAATGTCACCTTCAAATGTGGCCTATAGACCAGCAGGCCTCATGGTCAACAGTGCCCCTGAGCCCAAGACCTGAAGGGCCAACTCCCTCCCAGGCACCTCACTTGGACATCCCACAGGCAGCTCCACTGCACCGTGTAGAAAACAGAATTCATTTACACCTAGCAGAGCCAGAAACGCCTCCTCACGTCACCTCTGATTACCAAGATTCTGGCTGTAAAGTGTCTGGTGGCATCGTATGCCATGGCGGCCACCCCTAAGCTTCTGCACAGGGAACAAAAACTCATCATGGACCCTGCGGCCTGCACTGACACCCCGCCTCCACTCCTTGGCAACACAGCCTAGGTCACCCGCAAATGTCCTTCTCCAGCTCCCTCCCACCATCACCCACTAGAGGTAATAACCCTTACGACTCGCTCACACGACCCCAGAAAGGTCTGGATGTTTGAATACACCACCACGCTGCCTGCACCCCATCCTTCTGTCCAGGGGCTGGTAAGCTTTCTTGGACAAGGACCAGACAGCAAGCATTATAGACTTTTGAGGCCATCCTGTCTCTGCCACGGCTACCCAACTCCACTCTTGTAGCAGGAAAGCAGCCACAGACAAATCCACAAATGAGTGTGGCTATGTTCCAATAAAGCCTTATTTACACACACAGATGGCAGCTGAGCTGGCTCCTGGGCTGCAGTTTGCTGGCCCCTCCTCGAGTGCAATGATTGCTCTGTGTTCTCCAACCCTCAGGCCCTTCTTCTTTTCTTTTTTTTCTTTTTTTTGGAGATAAAGAAGTCTTACTTTGTCACCGAGGCTGGAGTGCAGGGGCGCAATCTCGGCTCATTGCAACCTTCACCTCCCAGGTTCAAGTGATTCTCCTGCCTCAGCCTCCCTAGTAGCTGGGATTACAGGTGAGGATAATTTTAGTTTTTTTTTTTTTTTTTGAGACGGAGTCTCACTCTGTTACCCAGGCTGGAATGTGGTGGCGCGATCTCGGCTCACTGCAAGCTCCGCCTCCCAGGTTCACACCATTCTCCTGCCTCAGCCTCCTGTGTCGCTGGCACTACAGGTGCCCACCACCGTACTTGGCTAATTTTTTGTATTTTTAGTAGAGACGGGGTTTCACCGTGTTAGCCAAGATGGTCTCGATCTCCTGACCTTGTGATCCCCCCGTCTCGGCCTCCCAAAGTGCTGGGATTACAGGTGTGAGCCACCGCGCCCGGCCCTAATTTTAGTATTTTTAATAGAGACAGGGTTCTGCCATGTTGGCCAGGCTGGTCTCAAACTCTTGACCTCAGGTGATCCACCCGCCTCAGCCTCCCAAAGTGCTGTGATTACAGACGTGAGCCACGGCACCCGGTCCTCAGGCCTTTCTTGGTCCACATTCTACTTTACAGGACTGAGGTTCCGGGTCCTCTGCTTCAGAAACATGACCGCCCCCCTCCCGCTTCCCAGGCCCTCTGCTGTGCATCTGGGCAGATGGTCTACACAGAAAGGACCCGCAACAGAACGGCTTCCTTCTGGCCCACCATTCTCCCCACTACACAACGGCCCTTTCCAACCTGTTCTGTACTCGGCAAACCTCACCACCCCGATTTCTGCCTGTTCTTGCTGGGTAACTTCCTGTAGTTCTGGCTGACCTTCTCTCCAGCCCTGCTTCTCACCCACACCGTAATCTTGGGATGTGATCTCTCCAAAAACCCTGGTACTTTCTCAAGTTATTTTTGGTCCACACTTTAATGATTCCTACTTTCGGGGGTTATAATAAACAAATGTAACCTGAAATATCTAATTTCAGTAATTTACTAAGTTTTCTTTCTGGACACACACATGCACATTTTCTGTGAATACTGCGTGAAAATAAGAACATGTATTCCTAGTCGAACCTCATTTCCTTACTCAGTTTGCTCACACTCAGCATAACTGACGCACTGTGATGTTACTCCCCCTTTCCTAGTTCATGTACACTATTGCTTTTTTGGTAACCACTGTTTTCACTTTCACCCCTTTCTATAATTTTGCTGGCTTGACAAAATGTCAACACTCCCCCTTTTCTCTCTTGTTGATTTAAAAATTATTCTTGCTTTTCAATTTTGCAGCTCAGTCGGGCGCAGTGGCTCACGCCTGTAATCCCAACACTTTGGGAGGCCAACGCGGACGGACCACTTGAGGTCAGGAGCTCAAAACCAGCCGGGCAAATATGGTGAAACCCTGTCTCTACTAAAAGTACGAAAATCAGCCGGGCGTGGTAGTGCATGCCAGCAGTCCCACTACTCAGGAGGCTGAGTCAAGAGCATCGCTTGAGCCTGGGAGGCAGAGGCTGCAGTGAGCTGAGATTGTGCCACTGCACTCCAGCCTGGGGCACAGAGCAAGACACCGTCTCAAAAAAAAAATTTTTTTTTTGCAGCTCAACATATCATATTCACTGTGTTATCCAAATAACAAAATTATGCCTCCCCACAATATGCTTCTTTGACACTCTCTTCTACCCACCACAACACGACATTCCACACTCCCGGGTTTTACTAAGAGTTTGTAATTCCTGGCTCTAAGCTGTCACTGGGCTTTCCCTCACAAAAATACATCGATTCTTCAAGAATTCTTACTTATGCATTGTTCAACCACTGAAAACCATCCCTCTTTCGGTGGTGGGGACAGGGTCTTGCTCTGTCATCCAGACTGCAGTATAGTAGTGCCATCTCGGCTCATTGCAGCCTCTGCGTCCTAGGCTCAGGGGATCCTCTCACCTCAGCCTCCTGAGTAGCTGGGGCTACAGGCATGTGCCACCACCCCTGGCTAATTTGTTTTTTTAAATTTTTTGTAGAGACAGAGTTTTGCCATGTTGCCCAGGCTGGTCTCAAACTCCTGGGCTCAAGCGATCTGCCCACCTCAGCCTCCCTAAGTGCTGGGAGGCCATCCACATGAATTTAAACAGTCGTGTACCCAGTTTTACACTAAAGTTTGTAGCTGAAACAGATAACTGTGCTGTCCTTCCTAGGGGTACAGGAAGTGGACAGGGCAGAGGATTTGAAACACCGAGCCAAAGCCCAGGCTCCCTTTAAGAATCATGTTAGTGGCCGGGTGCGGTGGCTCACGCCTGTAATCCCAGCACTTTGGGAGCCCGAGGCGGGCGGATCACGAGGTCAGGAGATTGAGACCATCCTGGCTAACACGGTGAAACCCCGTCTCTACTAAAAATACAAAAAAAATTTGCCAGGCATGGTGGCAGGTACCTGTAGTCCCAGCTACTCAGGAGGCTGAGGCAGGAGAATGGTTGAACCCGGGAGGAGGAGCTTGCAGTGAGCCGAGATTGCGCCACTGCACTCCAGCCTGGGAGACAGAGCAAGACTCCATCTCAAGAAAAAAGAAAAAAAAAAAATCAGGTTAGCCCGTCAGAATGTTGAAGGATTGAAGAGCCGCACCTCCTCCTTCCCTAACTCGCAGAAGGAGTGCAATCGCCCAGAAAGCCCTATGTGTTCCACGAGCTTCTTATCTTGAAATGTTGAACAAGAAAACTGTCCATTTTCTGAGACCCCCCAGAAAGTAAACTGATTATCAACAACTGCTTAATTGTTGCACTAATCTATCTTTAACGAAAAGCAAATTCGTTATTTTTTTTAAGCAATGGACTTTTCAAAAATTGAAATTAGGCAAAGCAGCTTAAGCCTCCTAATGAGAGAATATTATTTGTTCAGACTCAAGCTGAAATTCAAGCCTCACATTGCCTTATGCTTTGTTTATGATAAATATATAAATGAGGGTTGCTTAACAGCTGTGAGCACTGTGTGGGATTTTACACCTGGCCTGTGTGAACGCCTGTTCCAGTTGGGGTGTTGATTTGACTAATACGCTTCATCCCAGTGTATAAAACTTGCTTCTCTTCTCAAGCAGAGCAGCTCCCCTGGCTCCCTACTCTGCCCTGAAGGACTCTTGGGCTCCTGGGGGTGGGAGGGGCCAAGAGAAGGAAAAGCCTGTCTTTAGCACCCTTTAGAAGAGCTGTGCCCCCTTCACAGTGCTGCCTTGCATGGGCCTAGCCCGGGGGGGCACTCATCAGTGACTCCAACTCGCCTGCTTGCTGCACTTGGGATGAAACGATCCCACAGGTCAGGTGGAGGGTGGGGTGTGGGCACTGGCCAGGATTGCTGTCGCCTTTTCTCAAGAGCGAGGAAGATCGTTCCTATTTCTAAGCAGTCACACCCCAGCAGTCTCTTTCTCACACAGTCCTGCATGTTAGGCGCCGTGGTCTGCAGGGGCAGCTCTGTGCCTCAGTGGCTCTTGGCAGGACACTGAGGGCCTGTCTGTGGTGTGCCCAGCTCTGCCACTCCCAGGAGGAGAAAGGCTGCTCAGCTCAAGGTATCCTGTTCAGCAGAGCAAATGTCCTCTGACAACCATGTCCCCAGACAGTTCAGACACCCTTGGGGACAGCACTGCACACACGACAAAGACGCAGGGGCCAGGGAAGCCCAGCACTCGGTGCCCTCTGTCCCGTGGGACGTGGTGAGAAGGCAGGCTGCAGGGGTGTAACTATGTGTCTTTTCCCCAAAGTTATTACACCAATGAGTAACTGGTCAATAAAGCATTCTTCTGGGGAAGAAATTTTAAACAATTAAAAAAAGAAAGCGTCAGTGGAGGGTGGGCACGCACCATCTTGTCGGGGGTGTTCAGATACAGGTCAACCACGTAGCGGATGCGCTTCTGCAGCATGGCCTCGTCGTCATCGGGGTACATCAGCCTCATGAAGTCGGGGTTCTCCAGGACGTCCAGAGTCAGCCGGCAGATGGAAGCCTGGTTCTCTTTGGCAGCAACATGCATCACGTTGTACCTGCACCCTTCCTGAAAGAGACCCGCACACTCTGAGCTCCCATCTGTGACACGTGGACACGTCTGTCACGAGTGCTGCGATGGAACCGGCCAGGCCGCGCACCCACCCGATGGAACCGCACCTACCCGATGGAACCAGCCAGGCCGCGCACCCACCCGATGGAACCGGCCAGGCCGCGCACCCACCGATGGAACCGGCCAGGCCGCGCACCCACCCGATGGAACCGCACCTACCCGATGGAACCGGCCAGGCCGCGCACCCACCCGACGGAACCGGCGAGGCTGCACACCTACCTGCACGATAGTTGGGTTGTCCCCTGAGCCAATCAGATAACGGGGGTTGCTCCAGATGAGGTCAGAAAAGGTGTCTTCCTCTCCCTTCTCCACAGCTTTCCGAAGCTTGGCGGTGAGGTCCTGCGTGCGGGGATTTTTATAGCTGTTCGCTCGCTCTTTGTTGACTGTTTCTGATTCAGACAAGCACAAACCATCTGCCGGTAGGAGACAGAATTTAAGAAAGATCAGTGTCACCAAGTCACTCATGCACCCTGTGACCAGGGATAAGGAGCTTTCCACACAGGCCTCTGGGCCAACTGGGAGGCACAGGTGAGAAACGACGAGATGGGCCTGCGGCCACCAGCCCCAGCATGTAACGGCAGCCAGCGCGCCCCTGTGAGCAGAGCAAGTGGAGGAGAGCAGCCAGACCCTGCCGCAAGCTTGCTGGGAAACACTGAATGAGGCCAAGTTTGGTGAACTTTGTGTTTTTTCAGAGACAGGGTCTGGCTCTGTCACTCAGGCTGGAGTGCAGTGGCACGATCACAGCTCACTGCAGCCTCGACCTCCTGGGCTCAAGTGATCTCAGCCCCCCAAGTAGCTGGGACTACAGTTGTGTGCCACCACGCCTGGCTTATATCCGTATATATAAATGTATTTTTAAAGATAGGATCTCACTATGTTGCCCAGGCTGGTCTCCAACTCCTGGCTTCAAAGGATCCTTCTGCCTCAGCTCCCAAAAATGTTGGAATTACAAGCATGAGTCACCACAGCCGGCCAGTGAACTCTGAAAGCTTGGTCAGTAGGTGGAGGAGGAATAACGGCAGTTGTGGGCAAGGGAACACTCCCAGCAATCACACAAGACCTTCGATGTGCACAGTGTGGCTGCAAAGGATCACAGGATTAAGGAGCCACCACACCCTGCTGATTTTTTTGTGGGGACAGAGTTTTGCTCTTTCGCCCAGGGTGGAGTGCAGTGGTGCGATCGTGGCTCACTGCAACCTCTGCTTTCCGGTTTCAAGCAATTCTCCTGCCTCAGCGTCCCAAGTAGCTGGGATTACAGGCACCTGCCACCACGGCCAGCTAATTTTTGTATTTTTAGTAGAGACAGGGTTTCACCATGTTGGCCAGGCTAGTCTGAAACTCCTGACCTGAGATTATCCACCCACCTCAGCCTCCCCAAATGCTGGAATTACAGGCATGAGCCACCGTGCCCGGCATGATTTCTGTCTTAAAGTGATTTCCTTCTGAGGAATTCTCACAAACTGCAAAGAAGGAAATCTGTACCTGTTAGAAGCCACTCTGGTTTCCATCCAGGAAGCACCTGTATAAGGCTGACTGAGGACAGGCAGATGACTGGAGGGAGAGGGCGCCATTCCTCTGGAGTACCAACCCGCCAGAGAAGCCCAGACAACTGTGAGCTGGGAGAGGGAGCAGGAGCTGAGGCCAGACGAGAGGTAAAGGCAGAGGCTCTACCCCACACTGACTGTGAAGAGCCTCTTCACACAAAACCCGAGTTCTGAGCTAGGAGGTGGAGAGGAGGCAGACTTCGGGCTGGACAGTTCCTACAGACAAGCCCGACTTTTGCAGATGCCCTAGTCCTAGAAGTAGGTATAGCTTCAGGTGGGGAAGGAGACTGCTCTCAGGATCCAAAAAGGCACAGTGGCTCACGCCTGTCATCCCAGCACTTTGGGAGGCTGAGACGGGAGGGTCACTTGATGCCAGCAATTCGATCAGCCTCGGCAACATGGCAAGACCCTATCTCCATAAAAAAATTTAAATTCTAGCCTGGCCAACATGGTGACTAAAAATACAAACATTAGTTGGGCATGGTGGCGGGCACCTGTAATCCCAGCTACTCGGGAGGCTGAGGCAGGAGAATCACTTGAACCCATGAGGCAGAGGTTGCAGTGAGCCGAGATCGCACCACTGCACTCCAGGCCGGGCAACAGAGCAAGACTCCGTCTCAAAAAAAAAGTTTAAATTAGCTGGGTGTGGTGGCGCACGCCTATTTCTCTCCCTATTTGGGAGGGTAAAGCAGGTGGATTGCTTGAGCCCAGGAGTTTGAGGCTGCCGTGGGCCATGACAGCACCATACTCCACTCCAGGCTGGCAAAACAAGACCCTGTCTCTTTACAAAAAGAAAAGAAAAAATCCAATAGGCAGCAAGGAGAGACGTGGGGACAGATGGAAGCAGCCACAGCGCTCTTTTCAGCTTCTCCACTCAAGATGCTAGTTACTGGCATGTCAGCATCAGAGCTAGCGTGGCTTCCTGGTCCACTGAGACGCCATCGACTCTACCCCCACAGAGAAAACAAGTTACCACATACGAGGAAAGAAGGCACAAAACAGGGTGGGATCTATGTGACAGGAACATCAAGATGTGAACTGCTGCATGATTTACCTTTCACCCCGTCATTGCTAAAGAGCGGCGCTGTTTTCACAGGAGAAAGTGGTAAGGACGTTCTGCTTGGAGAAGGGAAATAATCACAAATTCCTCTGGCAAATTTCTCAGCGTCTTCTCTGGTAGAAAAAGCTTTAAATCGGGACCCTTTGATCATCTTGACAGCTTGCAATGCTTCTTTTTTATTTTCATAAACATGGATCCTTTCTGGGTAGGAAAAGTAACAAAGGAAAATCAGAGATGAGTGACTGGAGCAGCTGTCACCTGGTCCACCCTGGGCTTCATCATCAGCTTCCATGTCTGCTACCCAGTCGCCCGGCTTAGTTCAGATCTTTAATCTTGAAGAAAAAGGGCCTTAGCTAGCCAAAATAACACAGTTAACAAGCTCAATTGTGTGCGTATATGCATGGGAGTAACATGATACATATTATGTTCACATATGTAATTCTATATGGCAAGATTCTATCCTAAAAACTAAATTTCATATAAAGATCTAAATAAAAATTATTAAAAGGCAAATTAAAAAAAACTATAATGATGTCAGCCAAGAACAAAAGAGAACTTTAAACACAATTTTGAACAGGAAACGCCTATTTTTTTTTTTTTTTTGGTGACGGAGTCTCGCTCTGTTGCCCAAGCTCAAATGCAGTGGTGCGATCTTGGCTCTCTGCAACCTCGGTCTCCCAGGTTCAAGCGATTCTCCTGCCTCAGCCTCCCGAGTAGCTGGGATTACAATGCACCTGCCACCATGCCCGGTTAACTTTGTATTTTTAGTAGAGATGGGGTTTCTCCATGTTGGTCAGGCCGGTGTTGAGCTCCCGACCTCAGGTGATCCGTCCGCCTCAGCCTCCCAAAGTGCTGGGACTACAGGCATGAGCCACTGTACCCAGCTGGGAATGCCTTTTTAAACATGCCAAGAAACCATCCAAAACAAGCTAATTCTGATTATATAAAAATATGAAAGCTCTGTAGTGGAACTATCACAATCAAGTTTTGTATGAGACCATCGTAAATACATAAGATGCAAACTATTAGCCAGGAGACAAAAATTTCTGAGCAATATAAGAGAGGAATGGTTACTGTCCACTACTGGATAAAAATGGCCATGGTCCAGGCATAGTGGCTCACGCCTATAATCCCAGCACTTTGGGAGGCTGAGGCGGACGGATCACCTGAGGTTGGGAGCTCAACACCAGCCTGACCAACATGGAGAAACCCCGTCTCTACTAAATACAAAATCAGCCGGGCACGGTGGCGCACGCCTGTAATCCCAGCTACTTGGGAGGCTGAGGCAGGAGAATTGCTTGAACCCGGGAGGCGGAGGTTGCAGTGAGCCGAGATCGCGCCACCGCATTCCAGCCTGGGCAACAAGAACAAAACTCCATCTCATTAAAAAGAAAGAAAGAAAGAAAAACAAAGTCTACCTTGTGACTCTGTACTTCTACTTTCGTTTTTATAAAAATGAAAACAGGCCGGGCATGGCGGCTTACGCCTGTAATCCCAGCACTTTGGGAGGTCGAGGTGAGCAGATCACAAGATCAGGAGATTGAGACCATCCTGGCTAATATGGTAAAACCCCGTCTCTACTAAAAATACAAAAAATAGCCGGGTGTGGTGGCGGGCGCCTGTAGTCCCAGCTACTTGGGAGGCTGAGGCAGAAGAATCGCTTGAACCCGGGAGGCGGAGCTTGCAGTGAGCCGAGATCGCGCCACTGTACTCCAGCCTGGGTGACAGAGAGAGACTCTGTCTCCAAAAAAAAAAAAAAAAAAAGTGCACTTACATTACATTCAAAAACACACGTTACATATCATGTTCTAAACATCTTAAAAATAAAAACAATGTTCATGTATATAAATAATAACAGTATCAATCATGGCGAAAGCAGTGAAGTAGTTACTTCTCAGCAGTGAGATCTGAGACCAGAAGAGAGAATCTGGCTTTTACTTTAGATGCCACTTATAGAACATACACATTATAAGTGATTGTAACGAGCAACCTTTACAATAATAAAGATTAAAAATAAGGCTGGACGAGGTGGCTCACACCTGTAATCCCAGAACTTTGGGAGGCCGAGGCAAGCGAATCACGAGGTCAAGATATAGAGACCAGCCGGGCGCAGTGGCTCAAGCCTGTAATCCCAGCACTTTGGGAGGCCGAGATGGGTGGATCGTGAGGTCAGGAGATCGAGACCATCCTGGCTAACACGGTGAAACCCCGTCTCTACTAAAAAATACAAAAAACTAGCCGGGCGAAGTGGCGGGCGCCTGTAGTCCCAGCTATTCGGGAGGCTGAGGCAGGAGAATGGCGTAAACCCGGGAGGCGGAGCTTGCAGTAAGCTGAGATCCGGCCACTGCACTCCAGCCTGGGCGACAAAGCAAGACTCCGTCTCAAAAAAAAAAAAAAAAAAAAAAAAAAGATATAGAGACCATCCTAGCCAACGTGGTAAAACCCCGTCTCTATTTTAAAAATACAAGAATTAGCCGGGCATGGTGGCACACTCAGCGACTTGGGAGGCTGAGGCGGGAAAATCACTAGAACCCAAAAGGCAGAGGTTGGAGTGAGCCCAGATCGTGCCACTGCACTCCAGCCTGGTGAAAGACCGAGACTCTGTACCAAAAAATAAGTAAACAAATAAATAATAAATGACAAAAATAAAAACTGCACTATGACCATTTCCCAGTGTCACTATTCTTTTTTTTTTTTTGAGACGGAATCTAGCTCTGTCGCCCAGACTGGAATGCAGTGGCACAATCTCAGCTCATTGAAACCTCAGCCTCCTGAGAAGCTGGGACTACAGGCGCCCGTCACCACGCCCTGCTAATTTTTTGTATGTTTAGTAGAGACGGGGTTTCACCATGTTAGTCAGGATGGTCTCGAACCCCTGACCTTGTAATCTGACTGCCTCGGCCTCCCAAAGTGCTGGGATAACAGGCGTGAGCCACTGGCCTGGCCACTAAGTATTCTTTAAAAAGATCTTATGGAAGAATAATATTCCATTCTATTCACGGTGTTTAACCAATTATCTACTCACAGGTATCACCACAAATGATATCACAGTAACAACAATACTAATGACAGTGTGCAATTTCCGGCATTCCAGTCAATATTGAGTTCTCTTTTTTTTTTTCCCCAATGCTAAATCTTGTTTAAAATTACAATTCTTGGGCTGGGCACAGTGGCTCACACCTGTAATCTCAGCACTTTGGGAGGCTCAGGTGGGAGGACTGCTTGAAGCCAGGAGTTCAAGACCAGCCTGGGCAATAAAGCGAGACCCACTCTCTTAAAAAAAAAAAAATTGATTACCTAGGTGTGGGCAGGCGAGGTGGCTCACACCTGTAATCCCAGCACTTCGGGAGGCCGAGCCTGGTGGATCACTTGAGCCCAGGAGTTGGAGACCAGCCTGGGCAAAGTGGGGAAATCTCATCTCTACCAAAAATACAAAAAAATGACTGCACACTGGCACATGCCCGTGATGTCAGCAATCCCAAGCTGAGGTGGGAGAAGTGCTTGAGCCTGGTAGGCAGACATTGCAATGAGTTGTTGAGATCACATCACTACACCCCAACCTGGGTGAGAGACAGAACCCAGTCTCAAAAAAAAAAAAAACCAAACATAAAAAAAAAACCAATTAGCTAGGCGTGCTGGTATGTGCCTGTAACCTTAGCACGCTGGGAGACCAAGGTGGGTGGATCGCTTGAGGGCAGTTCGAGAGCAGCCTGGGCAACATGGCAAAACCCTCTCTCTATAAAAAATACAAAAATCGGCCGGGCACGATGGCTCACACCTGTAATCCCAGAACTTTGGGAGGCTGAGGCGGGCAGATCCCAAGGTGGGCGGATCCTGAGGTCAGGGGTTCGAGACCAGCTTGGCCAAAATGGTGAAACCCTGTCTCTACCAAAAATACAAAAATTAGCTGGGTGTGGTGGCAGGTGCCTGCAGTTCCCAGCTACTTGGGAGGCTGAGGGAGGAGAATCACTTGAACCCGGGACGCAGAGGTTACAGTTAGCTGAGATCGCGCTATTGCACTCCAGCCCAGGCAACAGTGCAAGACTCTGTCTCAAAAAAAAAACAAAAAAAACAAAAACAGCTGGGTGTGGTGGCTCATGCCTGGGTCCCAGCTACTCAAGCGGCTGAGGTAGAAGGATCACCTGAGCCAGAAAGGTTGAGGCTGCAGCGAGACGTCACTGTACCACTGCAATGCAGCCTAGGTGGCAGAGCAAGACCATGTCTCAGATGAATAAATTAAAAAAATAAAATGGCCGGGGGCAGAGGCTCACGCCTGTAATCTTAGCACTTTGGGAGGACAAGGCAGGTGGATCACAAGGTCAGGAGTTCATGACCAGCCTGGCCAAGATGGCAAAACCCCGTCCCTACTAAAAATACAAAAAATTAGCCAGGCGCGGTGGCAGGTGCCTGTAATTCCAATTACTCAGGAGGCTGAGGCAGGAGAATCACTTGAACTCAGAGGGCGGAGGTTACGGTGAGCCAAGACTGCGCCACTGCACTCCGGCCTGGCAACAGAGTAAGACTCTGTCTCAAACAATAAATAACTAAATAAATAATAAAATAAAATTACAAAACTCTGATGCTGAAAATGTATGCATTCATTGGCCATTTGCATTCATTAACATAAAAGGTGTGCAGGTCACAATGCATTTTAAAAAGGGGGAGGCGACTGATCAACAAAGCTCCTAACCAAGAGCAGCAGCAGCTAATGTCAATATCTCAGTCCAGCGTATCTCACAGAACCAATCTACCTGACCAATTCTAATGTCAATATCTCAGTCCAGCGTATCTCACAGAACCAATCTACCTGACCAATTCTAATGTCAATATCTCAGTCCAGCATATCGCACAGAACCAATCTACCTGACCAATTCTAATGTCAATATCTCAGTCCAGCGTATCTCACAGAACCAATCTACCTGACCAATTCTAATGTCAATATCTCAGTCCAGCGTACCTCACAGAACCAATCTACCTGACCAATTCTAATGTCAGTATCTCAGTCCAGCGTATCGCACAGAACCAATCTACCTGACCAATTCTAATGTCAATATCTCAGTCCAGCGTACCTCACAGAACCAATCTACCTGACCAATTCTAATGTCAATATCTCAGTCCAGCGTATCGCACAGAACCAATCTACCTGACCAATTCTAATGTCAATATCTCAGTCCAGCGTATCTCACAGAACCAATCTACCTGACCAATTCTAATGTCAATATCTCAGTCCAGCGTATCTCACAGAACCAATCTACCTGACCAATTCTAATGTCAATATCTCAGTCCAGCGTATCGCACAGAACCAATCTACCTGACCAATTCTAATGTTAATATCTCAGTCCAGCATATCTCACAGAACCAATCTACCTGACCAATTCTAATGTTAATATCTCAGTCCAGCGTATCTCACAGAACCAATCTACCTGACCAATTCTAATGTCAATATCTCAGTCCAGCGTATCGCACAGAACCAATCTACCTGACCAATTCTAATGTCAATATCTCAGTCCAGCGTACCTCACAGAACCAATCTACCTGACCAATTCTAATGTCAATATCTCAGTCCAGCGTATCTCACAGAACCAATCTACCTGACCAATTCTAATGTCAATATCTCAGTCCAGCGTATCTCACAGAATCAATCTACCTGACCAATTCTAATGTCAATATCTCAGTCCAGCGTATCTCACAGAACCAATCTACCTGACCAATTCTAATGTCAATATCTCAGTCCAGCGTATCGCACAGAACCAATCTACCTGACCAATTCTAATGTTAATATCTCAGTCCAGCGTATCTCACAGAACCAATCTACCTGACCAATTCTAATGTTAATATCTCAGTCCAGCGTATCTCACAGAACCAATCTACCTGACCAATTCTAATGTCAATATCTCAGTCCAGCGTATCTCACAGAACCAATCTACCTGACCAATTCTAATGTTAATATCTCAGTCCAGCGTATCGCACAGAACCAATCTACCTGACCAATTCTAATGTCAATATCTCAGTCCAGCGTATCTCACAGAACCAATCTACCTGACCAATTCTAATGTCAATATCTCAGTCCAGCGTATCTCACAGAATCAATCTACCTGACCAATTCTAATGTTAATATCTCAGTCCAGCATATCTCACAGAATCAATCTACCTGACCAATTCTAATGTCAATATCTCAGTCCAGCATATCTCACAGAATCAATCTACCTGACCAATTCTAATGTCAATATCTCAGTCCAGCATATCTCACAGAACCAATCTACCTGACCAATTCTAATGTCAATATCTCAGTCCAGCATATCGCACAGAACCAATCTACCTGACCAATTCTAATGTCAATATCTCAGTCCAGCATATCTCACAGAACCAATCTACCTGACCAATTCTAATGTCAATATCTCAGTCCAGCATATCTCACAGAATCAATCTACCTGACCAATTCTAATGTCAATATCTCAGTCCAGCATATCTCACAGAATCAATCTACCTGACCAATTCTAATGTCAATATCTCAGTCCAGCACATCTCACAGAACCAATCTACCTGACCAATTTTAATGTTAATATCTCAGTCCAGCATATCGCACAGAACCAATCTACCTGACCAATTCTAATGTCAATATCTCAGTCCAGCATATCGCACAGAACCAATCTACCTGACCAATTCTAATGTCAATATCTCAGTCCAGCATATCTCACAGAACCAATCTACCTGACCAATTCTAATGTCAATATCTCAGTCCAGCATATCTCACAGAACCAATCTACCTGACCAATTCTAATGTTAATATCTCAGTCCAGCATATCGCACAGAACCAATCTACCTGACCAATTCTAATGTCAATATCTCAGTCCAGCATATCTCACAGAACCAATCTACCTGACCAATTCTAATGTTAGTATCTCAGTCCAGCATATCTCACAGAATCAATCTACCTGACCAATTCTAATGTCAATATCTCAGTCCAGCGTATCTCACAGAATCAATTTACCTGACCAATTCTAATGTCAATATCTCAGTCCAGCATATCTCACAGAACCAATCTACCTGACCAATTCTAATGTCAATATCTCAGTCCAGCGTATCTCACAGAACCAATTTACCTGACCAATTCTAACAGTCCTCACGTAGACTCACATAAAAATATTAACAACGGTTCTCAGTCCAGCATATCTCACAGAATCAATTTACCTGACCAATTCTAATGTCAATATCTCAGTCCAGCATATCTCACAGAACCAATCTACCTGACCAATTCTAATGTCAATATCTCAGTCCAGCATATCTCATAGAACCAATCTACCTGACCAATTCTAATGTCAATATCTCAGTCCAGCATATCTCACAGAATCAATCTACCTGACCAATTCTAATGTTAATATCTCAGTCCAAAACGAACAATCTACAATAATGTAATATCTCAGTCCAGCATATCTCACAGAACCAATCTACCTGACCAATTCTAATGTCAATATCTCAGTCCAGCATATCTCACAGAATCAATCTACCTGACCAATTCTAATGTCAATATCTCAGTCCAGCATATCTCACAGAATCAATTTACCTGACCAATTCTAATGTCAATATCTCAGTCCAGCGTATCTCACAGAATCAATTTACCTGACCAATTCTAACAGTTCTCACGTAGACTCTTCCACATAAAAATATTAACAACGGTTAACTGGGGTGATGAGATGGTGGTGATCGGATCTTTTCTTTTTTTATCTGTACTTTTCCATTTTCATATGTCATCCCGCCCTCTGCATATATGCTCTGTGTGAGGAAATCCTACACACGTCCCCATTACCATTTCTCGCTGGGATGTCCTCATATACTGGACACACCCCGTAGTACAAGGGCGGTTCCTTAGACGCAGTCACTCCAGTTCCGTAGGTGTCAACAGCACTGGGGGGCACCGAGCAGGTCTGAGATGTCACAGCTTCCTCTTCTGGAGGATTCAGGCCCACACTGTAACCAAAATCTCTGTCTTCAGAAAAACCAGCCTCATCAGTTGGGTTCCCTTCAGCTGACTTCAAAATCCTTTGTGTGTCTTGGCTGGGAGCTGTGGCACCTGCCTCATGGTGGTCGAAAGAAGGCAGCCTTCCTCCTTGCTCCAGTAAAGCCTGAGCCAATTTTTTCTCAAAAATGAACCTTGTAGTTGACGTAATGGGTCCACATTTCAATCCAGCTTTGACGATTTCTTCTCTAAGGTCATCTGGATTCAGAAGTTTCAATCGAGCCAACACAGCATCCATTGTCATTTCACCTAGGCCCAAGACAAAAAAATCAAATAGAGTCACAAAATACTAACACCTGCTGAAGCTGGGTGGCAGGTACCAGGGTTCGTTATTTAATGGCATCAGTTTATTTCATTAAAAACTTTTTTCTTGGCTGGGCGCAGTGGCTCATGCCTATAATCCCAGCACTTTGGGAGGCCGAGGTGGGCGGATCACCTGAGGTCAGGAGTTCGAAACCAGCCTGGCCAACATGGTGAAACCCCATTTCCACCAAAAATACAAAAAATTAGCCGGGTGCAGTGGCAGACACCTGTAATCCCAGCTACTTGGGAGGTTGAGGCAGGAGAATGGCATGAACTCAGGAGGCGGAGGCTGCAGTGAGCCAAGATTGTGCTCCAGCTTAGACAACAAGAGCAAGACTCCAGATCAAAAAAAAAAAAAAAAAAAATTTTTCTTTTTTCCCAGGCAGGATTCCACTTTTCATACAAACTCTCTCCTTACTATAATGCCACCAAATTTTTTTTTTTTTTTTTTTTGAGGCAGAGTCTTGCTCTGTCACCCAGCCTGCAGTGCAGTGGCACCATCTCAGCTCACTGCAACCTCCGCCTCTTGGGTTCAAGTGATTCTCCTGCCCCAGCCTCCCAAATAGCTGGGATTACAGGCACCTGGCATCACGCCGAGCTAATTTTTGTATTTTTAGTAGAGATGGGGTTTCACCATGTTGGCCAGGTCGGTCTTGCACTCCTGACCTTAGGCGATCTGCCTGCCTTGGCCTCCCAAAGTGTTGGGACTACAGGCGTGAGCCTTTTTTTTTTTTTTTTTTTTTTTTGAGACGGAGTCTTACTATGTCTCCAGGCAGGCTAGAGTGCAATGGCGCAATCTCGGCTCACTGCAACCTCCACCGCCCGGGTTCAAGTGATTCTCCTGCCTCAGCCTCCTGAGTAGCTGGGATTACAGGCATGTGCCACCATGCCCAGTCAATTTTGTATTTTTAGCAGAGACAGGGTTTCTCCATGTTGGTCAGGCTGGTCTCGAACTCCCGACCTCAGGTGATCCGCCTGCTTTGGCCTCCCAAAGTGCTGGGAATACAGGCATGAGCCACCATGCCCAGCCCATTATATTCTTTAAAAAAAAAAAAAAAAGTCCAGGCACGGTGGCTCATGCCTGTAATCCCAGCATTTTCGGAGGCCAAGGCGGGCCGATCACCTCAGGAATTCGAGACCAGCCTGGCCAACACAGTGAAATCCCGTCTCTACTAAAAACAATTAAAATTAGCCGGGCATTGTGGCACATGCCTGTAATCCCAGCTACTCGGGAGGCTGAGGTAAGAGAGTTGCCTGAACTTGGGAGGTGGAGGTTGCAGTGAGCCAAGATCGCACCACTGTACTCCAGCATAGGGGACAAGAGCGAGACCTCATCTCAAAAAAAATTACCCAAGCATAGTGGTGCACGCCTACGGCCCCAGCTACTCAGGGGGCTGAGGCAGGAGGATCACTTGAGCCTGGGAGGTGGAGGCCACCGTGAGCCAAGATGGCACCCCTGCACTCCAGCCTGGGCGACAGAATCAGACCCTGTCTCAACAAATAAAAGGATGGGGGGGAGTAATATTTCTGAATTTAAGTTTCCATAGGGTTCTGACTTTTAAGAACATGTTCGTGATTGACATACTCAAGAAATAAGTAAAGCCGGGCAAGGTGGCTCACACCTCTAATCGCAGCACTTTGGGAGACCAAGGTGGGTGGATCACGAGGTCAGCAGTTCGAGACCAGCCCGGCCAAGATGGTGAAACCCTGTCTCTACTAAAAACAATACAAAAATTAGCCAGGCGCGGTGGCAGGCGCCTGTAATCCCAGCTACTTGGGAGCCTGAGGCAGAAGAATCACTGGAACCCAGGAGGCAGAGGTTGCAGTGAGCGGAGATCGCCCCACTGCACCCCAGTCTGGGCGACAGAGCGATACTCCATTTCAAAAAAAAAAAAAAAAAAACAAATAAGTAAATAAACAAAAAGATAGGGGACACCCAAATGGAATACCAGCCAGAAGAAACGAACCTAACTGGCTTACAAGTGAGTAACACACCGGAAGCTAACCCACATAACTTTGGAAAACTGAGTGACTAAAGTGCTCTAAGGAGAAAGACAAAAAGAAGTGTGGCCATTACAGTGTGAACAGCCTCTAAGCAGTAGGTCTTTTCACAATGCTGTAAGTTAGCACACTTACAGCTATTTTCTGTGGACTCTAGGGCAAAGCAAATCATTTGAATACATGGTGGCTGATGAGAGCCAGGACTCTCCATGACAGAAAGGAAAGTGGGAGTGAGAACAGGGTTTCATCAAATGATTCCTGTAAAGGGCAAGAGAGTAAGCATCTCAGACTCTATGAGCCAAAGGCCGTGTAAGTGCTCAAGAACAGCCACAGGCAGGGTGTGACAGCTCACACCTGTCATCCCAGTGCTTGGGGAGGCCGAGGCGGGAAGATCACTTGAGTCCAGGAGTTCAAGACCAGCCTGGGCAATGTGGCGAGACCCTCTCTACAAAAACTTTAAAAATTAGCTGAGTGTGGTGATGTACACCTGTGCTTCCAACTACTTGGGGAGCTGAGGCAGGAGGATAAATTAAGCCCAAGAGTTTGAGGATGCAGTGAGCCCTGTTTGTGCCACTGCACTCCAACCTGGGCAACAGAGCAAGACCCTGTCTCCAAAAAAAAAAAAAAAAAAGAACAGCCACAGATATACACAAACAAAAGGGTATGGTTGTATTCCAATAAAACTTTACTATACTTAGAAAAATAGATGGGGGCCAGTTTGGATCAGTTTGCTGACTCTTGTATTAGAATAAACCCAGGGGCCCGGGCATGGTGGCTCATGCCGGTAATCCCAGCACTTTGGGAGGCCAAGGTGGGTAGATCATTTGAGGTGAGGAGTTTGAGACCAGCCTGGCCAACATGGTGAAACCCCGTCTCTACTAAAAATACAAAAATTAGCCAGGCGTGGTGGCGTGCACCTGTCATCCCAGCTACTCAGAAGGCCAAGCAGGAGAATCGCTTGAACTGGGCAGGCAGAGGTTGTAGTGAGCCTTGGCCTGGACAACAAAGTGAGACTCCATCTTAAAAAAAAAAAAAAAAAAAAAGAGGCCGGGCGCGGTGGCTCAAGCCTGTAATCCCAGCACTTTGGGAGGCCGAGATGGGCGGATCACGAGGTCGGGAGATGGAGACCATCCTGGCGAACACGGTGAAACCCCGTCTCTACTAAAAAAATACAAAAAACTAGCCGGGCGAGGTGGCGGGCGCCTGTAGTCCCAGCTACTCGGGAGGCTGAGGCAGGAGAATGGCGGGAACCCGGGAGGCGGAGCTTGCAGTGAGCTGAGATCCGGCCACTGCACTCCAGCCTGGGAGACAGAGCGAGACTCCGTCTCAAAAAAAAAAAAAAAAAAAAAAAGAATAAACCCACAGACGTTGCATTGAAATTGGAAGTATCAGTATGATCACATGGTCTTTGACATATCGATGGGTAAAGATGTGAGAAACAGCTAGGTCTGAAGACTGGGTAATGTTACATTAACAATTTTTTTTTTTTTTGAGATAGAGTCTTGCTCTGTCACCCAGGCTGGAGTGCAATGGCACGATCTCTGCTCACTGCAACCTCCACCTCCCGGGTTCAAGCAATTCTCCTGCCTCAGCCTTCCGAGTAGCTGCGACTACAGGCACCTGCCACCACGCCCAGCTAATTTTTTGTATTTTTAGTAGAGACTGCCTCACCACATTGGCCAGGCTGATCTTGAACTCCTGACCTCGTGTTCCACCTGCCTCGGCCTCCCAAAGTGCTGGGATTACAGGCGTGAGACATGGCACCCAGCCGAGTATGCAACTTTTGAGATTGGCTTTTCCTAGTCAGCATAATGCCCTTGAGATCCACCTACGTGGCAGAGTGGACTGCTGCGGAGTGGCACCCTGGGGTATCAATGTTTAAGTTTAACCATCCACCTCTAGAGGGACATTTGAGTTATTTCAGTTTCTGGCAATTACAAATAAAGTTGCTATGAACATCAAATACGGGTTTTTGTGTGAAAATCGTTTTCATTTCTCTAATAAAAGCTCAGGAATGCAGAGCAGATTTAACTTCCTAAAAACCTTCCAGGCTGATTCCCAGAGTAGCTGCACCACTTACCATCCCCACTCGCAATGCACGAGACCCAGTTTCTCTAAATCTCTGTTGACTTGTGGTAATATCAGTATTTTTTTATTTCAGCCCCTCTCAAAACACCACCCCCAGCCACCTTGTCCACAGCTCTGCTTGGATGATGCTGGTGGTGACGGTAACAGAGCACTCAGAGGTGCTTAACACATACCAAGTGCTGCACTTACCCAACTCCCAAAAAATCTTAACTAGGTACTACTATAATCCCTATTCCTAAATGAGCAGGCTGAAGACAGGTTAAGCCCACAGCAATAAGTGGTAGGGCCGGGCGCGATGGCTCACACCTGTAATCCCAGCTACTGGGGAGGCTGAGGCAGGAGAATGGTGTGAACCCGGGAGACAGAGGTTGCAGTGAGCCCAGATCACGCCACTGTACTCCAGCCTGGGCGACAGAGCGAGACTCCGTCTCAAAAAACAAACAACAACAGCAACAAAAATAGAAAAATTAGCCGGGCTTGTTGGTATTCACGTTTAATCCCAGCTACTCGGGAGGCTGAGGCAGGAAAATCGCTTGAACCAGGGAGGCGGAGCTTCCAGTGAGCCGAGATCCTGCCACTGCACTCCAGCCTGGGCGACAGAGCAAGACTTCATTTCAAAAAAAAAAAAAAAGAAAGTGGGTAGGGCCAGGACACAAACTCACACAATCCGACAGGAATCCCCACTCAATCATTAGAAAGCACCGCTTCTCAGTGACTAACAGTCTGACAATCTAGAGTAAAAACAAACTCAGTTTCTCCCACTAGACTCTCGCAACATGCTTCAGACGCCAGATATATGGGGGTTTTCTCGCCACGAATCACGCAGGTCATCAGTTCTGCAGTGGACACAGGCTGGGTGTCGTCTGTGCAGTTCCATCCTAACTCAGTCATCTATTCTGACAGCATCTTCCTGGACATACCAGCAGACCCCACAGGTTAAGGGCTCAGCCCCACAAGACTGTCCCCCACTTCCAGTGCCCAGGTTGTTTGACCTGCGCTTCGGACCGACTGGGTGTAACCGGGTAACCTCCTCAGGTTGTGTTAATTTGCTAGAGCGGCTCCCGAACTCCAGAGCCATGTTTTACTTACATTTACCAGCATAGGATAAAGATTACAAAGAATACAGGTGAAGAGATGCGTGAGGTAAAACCGGGGGGAAAGGCTTGGAAATTCAAGGCCTCTCTGGGCACCGCCTCCAGGAATCCCCACGTACTATCCGGAAGCTCCCTCAACCCAGCCCTTTTGGGTTTTTACAGAAACTTCATTTCACAGGCATTGGTGATCAGCTCAACCTTCAGCCCTCTCCCCTCCCCGGAGGTTGCGGGTGGGGCTGAAAGTCCCCAGAACCTCTAACTCAGCCTTGGTCTTTCCTGCGACCAGTCCCATCCAGAAGCTCCCTAAGGGCTGCCGGCCACCAGTCCACTCAGCCTACAAAAGACTTCACATTGGAGGTCCCCGGGATTTCAGGAGTTGTACGCCATGAAAAGCGGATGGAGGTGAAACACACAGTTCACAGTATCAGTTACCTCAAACTTAAAATGACCAAAACCCACCTCCGCTCTCCACATCACCCAGACCCGACAGTCTACCCCAAAGCAATAAATGGACACCTTCTCCCGTTTCCTCCCGCCCCAAACCCCTAAGTCACATAGGCCTTTTCCGTCTCTGCCTCCTGTTCAATGACCAGTAACCGCAGGGGTTTCACATTCCAAACACATCCGGGACCCAGGGCTTCCTACCCGCGCCGCCCCCCCTTGGGCCATCCCTCCCCAGGTCTCCATCGACCGCAGCAAGGTTCTCCGCTAACGCCTCGCCGGGCTCCCGCCGCCTTCCCCGGAGGCCGCTCCCGAGCCCAGAAAGCTCTCATCCCCGAACCCGGCGTGGCCCCTGCCGCCCCCGCCCCGGGAAGCCGCGTTCCCCGCAACTGCCCTTTCCGCGGCCGGAATGGCCTTTCTCGAGCGGCCCTGGGAGAAAAGAACGGCCTTTCTCCCGGCGGCCTCGCCCAACTGCTGCCGGCACCGGGAGCTCGAGGGGCGCGGCCCAGGACGGGGTCCCGGGGAGGGCGTCGGGGCGGGGAAGGGACCGGGATGCAGGGGCCCAGCGACCGCCTGGGCCTTACCTGGGGCGGGGGCGGCGGCCGCGGGCGGCGGAGGGCCTGGGGTCCCACTGCGGCCCAGACCCCCAGGCCGCGGGCCCAGCCGCCGCACCAGCCACCGCACAGCGATCAGCAGCACCGAGGCGCCCAGCAGCTCCCAAGCCAGCGCCGCCCACTCGGCCGCCGCCAGCCGCGGCCACAGCATCGCCGCAGCCCGGGCCGCAGCCGCCTAGGAGCCCGCACCCTGCGCCGCGCCCGCTCCAGGACCCCGCGCCGGGCTGCCCGCGCCCTGCCTGACGGCGCCACGCTAGAGGCGGCCGGGGTAGCGCAGGGGACACGGGCGGCGGCCCCGCTCACGAAGGTCCGGCGAGGGCGCCGCGGTGGCCCCGGCCCTGCACCCCAAGCGGGCGGGGACGGGCGAATGGACGGGCGGGCGCGGCAGGCGGGGCGCGGGCAGCCCGGCGCGGGGTCCTGGGAACTGCGCGGCGCGGAGAGGGTAATGCGTGGGCGGGGGCCGGGGCGGGGCTTGTTTACTGCCTCCCGGGCCCGGGCCTGGCCTCCGCGGGGCGCTGCGCCTCTTCGAGAACTAAGCGGGCTCCGCCGGGTTCGTGAGCTCCGGGCCCCAGGACCGTTTGCGGCCGCCGCCCCGTCCTGGAGCTGGAGTGAGGAGGCGCTTCTCACTTTCCTGCGAACCCGCAGAACGGGCGGCCGGCGCTGGGGAGGCCCCCGGAGCTTCCCGCTTCTTCACCAAGCGACCCTGACGCGCAGTCGAAAGCTTGGATTTTGCCGGGCGCGGCGGCTGCGTCCGGAGTCCCAGCGCCTTGGGAGGCGAGGCGGGAGGATCCCCTCGGCCCAGGAGTTCGAGACCAGCCTGGGCAAATATTTTGAAAGTCATGGTAAAAGCCTCAGTTACTTTTGCACCAACCTAATTGGGAGACCCTGTCCCGAAAAAGGGAGGAGGATTTTCCTGTATACAATTTAGATTTTTTTTTTTTTTGATGCGGAGTCTTGCTCTGTCGCCCAGGCTAGAGTGTAATGGCACGATCTCTGCTCACTGCAGCCTCCGTCTCCTGTGCTCAAGCGATTCTCCTGCCTTTCCTCCCAAGTAGCTGGGATTACAGGCGCCCGCCACCCCGCCCGGCTAATTTTTGCATGTTTAGTAGAGACGGGGGTTTCATCATGTTGGCCAGGCTGGTCTCGAACTCCTGACGTCAAGTGATTGGCCTCCCAAAGTGCTGGGATTACAGGCGTGAGCCACCGCACCCAGCCTACTTTAGATATTATGAAATGAAAATGAAAGACCTGAAAAATACAATTGATATCCTTGGTTAAAAACATAATTGATCTGAGCGAGGTGGCTCAGGTCTGTAGTTCTAGCAACTCTGGAGGGTGAGGGGCGAGGGTAGTTTCAGTTCGGGAGTTCGAGGCTGCAGTGAGCGTGATCTCGCCTGTGAATAGCCACTGCATGCCAGCCTGACCGACATAGCAAGACCCCATCTCTTAAAAAATATCATTGGATGGTACTAATGGTTGGTTGGGCACTACAGAATAAAGGGTCAGTACATTTGAAGATGGGTGAAATGGAAATTTAAACCACGATGAGATGCTGCTTTAAATCCACCAGAATGGCTAAAATTTAAAAATTGGCAGTATCAAATTTTGCTGGCAAGAGCGAACACTGAGTTAACCACTTTGGAAAATAGTGAGGCAGTTTCTTACAAAGTTAAACGTATACCTCTGCTGTATTCTGAGTGTCTCTCCCCAGTGTTCGTATGTTGAAACCGTAACCCTCAAGGTAATGGTATTAGGATGTGGGGCCTGTGGGAGGTGATAGGTCAGGGGGCAGAGCCTTATATACTTTACTTAGAAGAGGCTCAAGAGAGCCGGGCGCGGTGACTCACGCCTGTAATCCCAGCACTTTGGGAGGCCAATCACTTGACTTTGGGAGGCCGAGGCAGGAGGATCACAGGGTCAAGAGATGGAGACCATCCTGGCCAACATGTGAAACTCCATCTTTACTGCTGGGTGTAGTGGCGCACGCCTGTAACCCCAGCTACTCAGGAGGCTGAGGCAGCAGAATCGCTTGAACCAGGGAGGCAGAGGTTGCAGTAAGCCGAGATCGCACCTCTGCACTCCAGCCTGGCAACAGAGCAAGACTCGTCTCAAAAAAAAAAAAAGTATGGTGCTTCAAACTAGGAACACCCCAAAAGTATGTCAGTAGGTGGGTAGATAGATTGTGAAATTGTCATAGGCACATACTATCATTATCACATGGTTATATACTATTCAGGAACGACATGGCTGAGTCTCAAAAGTACACCACGAAAAAGAAACCAAACTCAAGAGTGCATACTATATAATTCCATTTATGTCTTTTTTTTTTTTTTTTTTTTTTTTTGAGATGGAGTCTCACTCTGTGTCCCAGGCTGGAGTGCAGTGGTGTGATCTCGGCTCACTGCAAACCTCACCGCCTGCCCGCACCCTGCCACGTACACCAGTAAAAGCGATTCTCCTGCCTCAGCCTCCTGAGTAGCTGGGATTATAGGTGCGCACCACCACGCCCAGCTAATCTTTGTATTTTTAGTAGAGACAGGGTTTTGCCATGTTGGCCAGGCTGGTCTCGAACTCCTGACCGCGGGTGATCCGCCCATCTCGGCCTCCCAAGGTGCTGGGATTACAGGCGTGAGCCTCCCCGCCCAGCTGCGATTTGTGTCTTAACAGCAAAGCTTGTGGTGAGAGAACTCGGAACAGCAGCTGACTGACTGGGCTGGTTAAATGGAAGGGGGCACAAGGAGCTTTCTCCTGTGAAGGAAATACTCTGTATCTCGTCTGGGTTGACAATAAAGGCACATATTTGTGAAAACTCATCAAAGTTTTGGCTACAAGGTTCATAAATGGGAAGAAAAACTCATCAAACTGTATGCTTAAAATATGCCTAGGTTTTAAAAAAAAGAATAAGGAGTACCTTGTTAGAATGAAACCTGCCATTGTTGTTTTTGATTTCTAGGTACTGTGAGGACAGATCTCTGTGCTCAGCGCCTCCCAGTTTTGACCCTTTATGAACGTGTGCCATCGTGTGGTGACAAGAGCACAGGCTCTGGGCTGCCACCTGGGTGGTGTCCGGTCTGCTGCCTGCCTCTGGGTAACTGTGGGTGAATCATTTCCCTGTGCCTCAGGTTTCTCATTGGTAAAATGAGGACAATCATAGTATCTATCTCACTGGGCACAGTGGCTCACGCCTATCATCCCAGCACCTTGGAGCAGCAGGGAGCTGACCAGAGTGGACCATGGCATGGCACGTACTATTTTTTTTTTTTTTTTTTTTTTGGACGGATCTTGCTCTGCCCAGGGAGTGCGGCGGACCAGCTCCTGAAGCTGGGTCACGCATTCCTGGCCCGATACACCGGGCTTTTTTTTTTTTTTATAGAACGTGTTACCAGCATCTCCTGACCTCGTGATCCGCCCGTCTCGGCCTCCCAAAGCGCTGGGATTACAGGCTTGAGCCACCGCGCCCGGCCTCTAAAAATTTTTTAAAATTAGCTGGATGTGGTGGCACATGCCTTGAGGAGGGAGGATCACTTGAGCCTGGGAGGTCAAGGCTGCAGTGAGCCAAGATTGCGCCATTGCACTCCAGCCTGGGGGAGAGAGACCCTGTCTCAAAAATAAACAAACAAACACATACATACATACATACATAAAAAGGTAATTACATAAGTCCTTGCTACGGAGCCTCCATACACGAAGGACTTTAATAACGAGTTGTTATACACTTTTATAAACTATAAATTTAAGTTTGACGTATATGCATGCTTTATAGGGGTGGCCGAGTTCTCGCCCGTCACAGGGATCTTGTCATCTGAATCATAAACCCAGGCAGCTCTGGGAGAACTGAGAGCTCATTTGTTAAATGGTCAGCTGTAGTCAACTGTTGCCACCCAGCACGCACTCTCCAGCCTTAACAGAAGCTCCCAGTGGGCAGTGGAGACGCTCCCGTCTCCTAAACACATCCAGCGGCCATGTGACTAAGCAAAGGCAGCGGAGAGTGAATGGATGGTGACGGATGGGGCCACGCAGCCGGCCTTCTGTGAGCGCCTACAGTGCACATCCCTGTCCTTTCTCTCCCTACTCACCTCAGAGGGGGACGGAAGGTGGGACTGGGAGAGCTGTTCTCAGGCTGGTGGACGCTGTGATCAGCGGAGACAGAAGGCACTTTTGTTCTGGGCACCGTGAAGCTGTCCTGGTCAGTCCTGTTTCCATGCTTGAGTGTCCGTGGTGCAGCAGCTCCACCATCCTTGACACCAGGACTTCTGTGGAATCCAGGTAAGCAGCTAGGGTCCTGGTAGGGCCATGCCCTCACCCCCATCTAATGCATCCACTCCCAGTTAAATGAGAACAGAATAATCACAGGAAAACATGGAGAACGACTCCACTGTTCTGAAGCCAACCCTGTATTAGCCACTATTTAACTTTAGGTAGAAATGAAAAAATTTGAGATGTAAACTCCTGCAGGTAGAAGTGGATTTCTCGTGAGTTAACAAAATGAAACTTACTAGAATCAACGGCCTTTTCTGAGAGCCATTCTGATTTTATTCCTAGTTGTAGTTTAACTTCTACTTCGTTTCTGATCCCAGATCACACAGGGGCCGTGTGAGCCCCAGGGACTCAGTGGAAGCTGCAGTCTCATAGCTCGAGGATTTACTCCCAACGGGCTGGGATAAGCCCTAGATGAGCAGGGAGTAGCTAATTTTTTCTTCCCCTTCTTTTTCAATATTAATTGGATTTCCTTAAAAGCCATGTCCATTAAGTCTGTTATCAATGGCTATTTAGCACTTGTGGAAACCCAGCCATATGTTACATACAGTAGGGTTTAGTCAGGAAAACAGTCCAGGCCAGGTGGTTCAGCAGAGAAAATGCAGGGGCAGGGACGGCAATTGCAGGACGCCAGAGGCCTTCAGGTGGAGATAACGGCCCGTAGTGGAAATGCAGACTCCAGAACCTGGTGGAACCGGGGCTGATGCCGGGGAATGAGGGTGGCAGGGGAGCTGCGACCGTGACCATCAGACGCCCAGCCACAGGGACTGCCTGATGCAGACAGGCGGCGGCAGTGGTGTGGGGGGGGCGTCTGTTTTCTGGGTGAAGATGGGGCATTTTGAAAGCATTGGGAAGATAAACCTGGCGTGTCCATCCAGTCTCCAGAAATGCACATTTAACGCTCAGAAGGAAATCTTGCAACAGTTGAGGTGCTGTTGGGAGGCTCTGTGAGCAGAGATAAGACTGCCCTGTGCGTTTCAGGACATTTAGATGTGACACTCAAAAATATTTCACCGTGGGCCGGGCGCGGTGGCTCACGCCTGTAATCCCAGCACTTTGGGAGGCAGAGGCAGGTGAATCACCTGAGGTCAGGGGTTCGAGACCAGTCTGACCAAAATAGTGAAACCCTATCTCTACCAAAATACAAAAATTAGCCGGGTGTGGTGGCGGGCGCCTGTAATCCCAGCTACCCGGGAGTCTGAGGCAGGAGAGTTGCTTGAACCCAGGAGGTAGAAGATGCAGTGAGCTGAGATCGAGACACTGCACTCCAGCCTGGGCAACAAGAGTGAAACTCCGTCTCAAAAATATAAGTATTTCATGTGAAGGTGGAATCCAACCCCGACAATGTGTAGAAAAGCCCAAAAATCTACACAAATTCCTGAGCCGAGGGCTACGGAGATGAGCATCCTGGTAATGCCAAGGACACGCTGCCTTCGAGGCTAGAGGTTCCCACCTCATCAGTAACGGAGGCATCGCCAGCCCTCAGCTGCCTCGGGAGCCCCCGATTGGCCTTCACGCCTCCCAGAAGCTCCACCATTTCAGCCCTTAACTGGAGTCCAGACCTTAGAAATGTGGACACTGCGAAGGTCGCCAGCAGCAAGTGGTGGAGCCAGGGGGACGGCTGTAGGACGCCCCCACACACAGGCGAGCAGAGGGCGTTGCAAACATTGGCAGAGGCGGCCCAGCAGCAGTTTAACATCTCGCCCTGTGTCCAGGAGAAAGGCCACTGCCCAAGTACCCTTTTTTTTTTTTTTGAGACGGAGTCTCCCTCTGTCACCCAGGCTGGAGGGCAGCGGCACGAACTTCAATCACTGCAACCTCCGCCTCCCAAGTTCAAGTGATGCTCCTGCCCCAGCCTCCTGAGTAGCTGGGGTTACAGGAACCCGCCACCATACCCGGCTAATTTTTGTATTTTTAGTAGAGATGGGGTTTCGCCATGTTGGTCAGGCTGGTTTCAAACTCCTGACCTTGAGTGATCCACCTGCCTCGGCCTCCCAAAGCGCTGGGATTACAGGCATGAGCCACCACGCCCGGCCTGCTTCCTAATACTACCTGAGGTCTCACATTTCCAAGTGATCTGGTGATTTTTAAATCCTGAGCCTCCCATCAGCGACAACCCAAATTCCTGACAATACCTGACGCCACTCTAAGCCAGGAAGAAGTGACCCATCCGTGTCTGCCAAAACCGCTCCTGACACCCACTGCTGAGCTCTGTAGCAGAATGCAGCGTGGAGCTTCGAGCTGCTGAGACAGACACAGCTGAAAATACACCTGTCAGCCAGTCAGTGCAGTGCCTGCAAACACGTAGCAACTCCATGGAGAAAAGGAAAACGTTCAGATATAAACATGTCCCCTTAAGGGTTATTATAAACAAAAAAAAGTTATATCCTTAATATTTCAGAAAGTTAAGGCCACAGAAGGTGGTCAGGGAATTTTTACTCCGATCTGTGTAGTAATTCCCTGGGTACAGAAGCGGGTAAAGCAGTCACAGGAAAAAGTGCATTAATCCCACAGGGCCAAGCCCGGCGACTACCACTTCCTGTCCCTTTTCTGTACTTTTTAAACCATGGTGGCGTCTACTAACGTCTAACTGAAAACTCTGTATCTGGTTAACTGTTTTTTTGTTTTTTTGTTTTTTTTTGAGCTAGAGTCGCACTCTGTCATCCAGGCTGGAGCGCAGTGGCGCGATCTCGGCTCACTGCAACCTCCGCCCCCCGAGTTCAAGCAATTCTTCTGCCTCAGCCTCCTGAGTACTGGGGATTACAGGCGCACACCACCACGCCAGGCTAATTTTTGGGTTTAGTAGAGGTGAGGTTTCACCATGTTGGCAGGGCTGGTCTTAAACTACTGACCTTAGGTGACCCACCCCCGCTCAGCCTCCCAAAGTGCTGGCATTACGGGCGTGAGCAACCACACCCAGTTTACACCTGGTTAACTTTTTTTTTTTTTTTTTTTTTGAGACAGAGTCTTGCTCTGTCACCCAGGATGGGGTGCAGTGGCCGGATCTCAGCTCACTGCAAGCTCCGCCTCCCGGGTTTAGACCATTCTCCTGCCTCAGCCTCCCGAGTAGCTGGGACTACAGGTGCCCGCCACCTCGCCCGGCTAGTTTTTTGTATTTTTTAGTAGAGACGGGGTTTCACCGTGTTAGCCAGGATGGTCTCGATCTCCTGACCTCGTGATCCGCCCGTCTCGGCCTCCCAAAGTGCTGGGATTACAGGCTTGAGCCACCGCGCCCGGCCTACACCTGGTTAACTCTTAATGATCAAAATCAAAGTACGGATGGAAAAGACAGAATCTGGGAAGTCACATTGCTGAGGTCTGAGAGTCATGACCCCACCGTCACCGCGGAGGCCCAGCAGAGGGCAGCACCTGCATGATGAGGCCCAGCTGAGGAGGCGCCACACAGCGCGGCCACCATCCTTCCCCTGGTCCACCGGGAAGCTCGCTCCCCCTCCTGTATTCCTGGCAAATGGCAACGGGCGAAGTGTGGGCCAAGCGCGGAGGAGGCGGTGCCATGCGTCTGCTGTTGTCACAAGCCACAGAAGTTGGCTTCACTCCTGCCTGAAACCGGCAGGGCACTAGAATTCTCTTTTAAAGCATGTGTTGAACAGAGTGTGTAATAACATAAGATTAAAAAGTTACTCTCCAAACAACAAAATATAAATATTAAAATGAAGCTTCCAATGAATATGAAAATCTTTACCAAAAAATAGTTTATTGCACAAAATTTAAGGAATTCCCAAGCACACTTACATTTGTAAAAAAATCAACGTGCTTTTTAAAGTTACACTTTGTCAGACAAGGTGACCCCTTTCCCCAGAACAGCCACAACTTGAGTGCTCTCTTTTGTGAGGAAATTTTTAATAAAAATGAGTAACTCAAAAGCACTGAATTTTCCAGACCCTCTAACACATTTCCCTCAGGATCCTGTGAGAGCCTGAGATCACTGTATGATGAAATTTGCCTGGACCTTCCAGTCAGTGAGCTGAGAACGCCTCACACCACAGCATCACTCAAGTCCTCACGTCAGAGGGCTCCTCGAAGGGAGGCTCCAGGACGGTTCTCTCTCAGATTTGCTGGTCCCCTCCCCTCTGAGAATCTTCACATACAACATTCTGTTTTTGTTTTTAAAGACCTCAGGGAACTAGAACTCTTACGTTGTGGGAACCCTACACCAAGGAGAGCTGAGGGCAAACTCCCTAGCACAGCACAGTGCGGCACGGACTGCGTTCTGGGGGGCAGGGCCCTGCTGGACCCACCTGAGGAGAGTCCGTTTCACATCCTATCAAAATCACTGCCTGATCCATAGTGCAGAGGTTGGGAACAGGGGTGTGAGTCCGTAAGACCCGTAGCATCCATCTCACACACACCATGGAAAAACACATGAAAACCAAGTTAACGTTGTTTTGGGAGCGTCACAAAAACAACCAGTGACGTCGTGAAGTGCCCAAGCCTGTTGTGACACACAGCGTGGGGACAAACACGCCGCATAATGCTCTGGGGACCCTGTTTTCTAAGCAATACTCCCGACTTCACTGCCTTTTCCATGAGGATATTCCATCATTCCCACTGCTGCCCACAAGAAGAAAATAATTCAAACTTTACGCACTGAAGTAACTCTGGGAGGTAGAAGTGCCGGGAGAGTCCCTTGGAGATAAGAAAAAAACCTCGACAATAAAGAAAAAGCTGGCAATTTAAAACTTCAACTTCAGTCGGGGGTGGTGGTTCACGCCTTTAAACCTAGCACTTTGGGAGGCTGAGGTGGGCAGATCACCTGAGGTCAGGAGTTCGAGACCAGCCTGGCCAAAATGGTGAAACTCCACCCCCATAAAAATACAAAAATTAGCCCGGTGTGGTGGCGGGCACTGTAGTCCCAGCTACTTGGGAGAATGAGGCAGGAGAATGGCTTGAACCCGGAAGGCGGAGCTTGCAGTGAGCCAAGGTCACGCCACTGCACTCCAGCCTGGGCGACAGAGTGAGACTCTGTCTCAAAAAACAAACAAACAAAAAACCCAACTTCCTCTTTTAGGCATCATCTTAAGAAAGGAAGCCTGAAGGCAGTGTCCGTGTGAACACAAGAGGTCTCAGATCCAGAAGCACAAGCCGTGCATGAAAACACCGGAAGACTCACCGTGGAGAGCGAGGGCAGCCAGGCCCTGCCAAACCAGAGGGGGCCCTGGCACCGGCGGCCACAGAGCACCGGGGAGGTATCACGCCCAAGGGCACACGCAGGAAAAGCGGGGTGAGAAACGCAGAGCTACCTTCCCTTGAGTATTTTCACAATTAGTTTGTCCTAAGAGAAAAAAAAATACACGGTGAACATCGCTCACTCGAGGACTTTCCATGAGAAGTCGCTCCCCATCGAATGTGTGTGATTTCTTGATTTTAATTTTTAAAAATTTTCTTATTTTTTTGAGACGGGAGTCTCGCTCTGTTGCCCAGGCTGGAGTGCAATGGCGCGATCTCGGCTCACTGCAAGCTCCACCTCCCAGGTTCAAGTGATTCTCCTGCCTCAGCCTCCTGAGTAGCTGGGATTTATAGGCGCACACCACCACACCCAGCTAAGTTTTATATTTTTAGTAAAGACAGGATTTTGCCATGTTGGCCAGAGTGGTCTGGAACTCTTGACCTCAGGTGATCCACCCGCCTCAGCCTCCCAAAGTACTGGGATTACAGGCATGAGTCACCACGCCCGGCCCGATTTCTTGATTTTAATATTAAAACAAAGGGGTAGTGCAGCCCAAATAAATAAGAATGTAAATTACTGTATTTTTCTTTTCTAAGGGTACAAGAACAATTTAGTAAATAACATATTCAACTTAACATAAAAAGGATATATTTATAATGAAATTTTCAAGTATTATTTCAAAATTAACCCTGTACAAATGATATATATATTTTGGAAGTTCTAATACTTGCTAGAGAATATTTTTTAAATACCAAACATCTTTGTGGTTAATGCTACCTTAACCTTACCAATTAACCTTCTAAAAGTATATTACAACAGAACACAAGTAGCATAAACATACCATACTGTTTTCTCCACAAAACAGACACAAGATACGGACATGAGCACATCTGGCCTGGCCAGTGACACTCAGAACCTCGTTTCAGACCCATATCTCTGCAAAGGAGGCCACAAGGACCCATTCTCTCTCTCTCCTCATACAATAAATATTATTTTAGATTTTCTTAACAAACTAGGGGACAACTTACAGACCCCAACTCTCGCAGTGTCTGCAATGTTTCAGGAGTTGGGGTGGGAAACGGAAGATCTCACACACGTAGTGCTGATTTTAAATAAGGCATCTGTCTGAGACACCTGGGGAGAGCACAGCCACCTTCCTCACGGTGCTGGCCTGTCTCTCCCGGAAATCGCCTCTGCTCTCCACATGATGCTGGTGTAAGCACAAAGGACCCAGGACTTCTCTTGGTGACTGCACGAGTACAGGCGCTCCCTCAGACACTGGTAAAGATTTTCACTTGGGCATAGAAGTGTGAGGCTTGTTACCACCCGCCATCTACACCTGGCTGTGGCTCCAGGAGAAACGGCAGGAGTCGCTGCAGGGAGCCCCTGGCCTGCTCTCCTCCTCCTCCTCCACCTTCCTTCCTCTCCCTCTGGCCTCTCCCTGTGCCCCACAAAGGTCAGATCAGATACAGGGCCTCAGTGTCCTTGTGCCTCCTGATGGCCTTCAGGCCTGACCAAGGGTCCAAGCTGCCGCTTCCCGGTGGCCAGCCATGGTGGAATCACACAGGACCAGTGGCCCGAGAGGAAGAGACCGGCAGGAAGGAAAGACCCTTAGCAACAAAGTAAAACCAGAACAGAGGACCTTTCTGTGTAAGAATATTTGGCTTTAGAAGGTAAATAAAATAATTATATTTCTTAGAACAGAATTTTCTGACATCCCTAAATCCTACAGGTAAATTATTCCCAACAAATTTTCAAAAGGCAATCAATAATAAGACAAATAGGTTCTTCTTAAATAATATGAGCATACGCTTGTTAAAGATTGGGTTACAGGCTGAGCGCGGTGGCTCATGCTTGTAATTCCAGCACTTTGGGAGGCTGAGGCGGGCGGCTCACTTGAGGTCAGGAGTTCGTAACCAGCCTGACCAACACGGTGAAACCCCATCTCTACTAAAAATACAAACATTAGCCTGGCATAGTGGCGAGCGTCTGTAATGCCAGCTACTCGAGAAGCTGAGGCAGGAGAATGGCGTGAACCCAGGAGGCGGAGCTTGCAGTGAGCCGAGATGGTGCCACTGCACTCCAGCCTGGGCGACAGAGGGAGACTCCATCTCCAAAAAAAAAAAAAAAAAAAAGATTGGGTTATGATCTTCATTGTCTACGTACACATCCTATGGTGGGATGGCTATCCAAAAAAACAAGCAAAAAGGTGCAAATAAAATTTCATTTCTGCAGAAAAGTAAAGCTCTTACTGAACGGAACAGGGAACTGAGACTGCAGCCGGCCTGGCCGGGTGCTGGTGCCGCACACCCCGTCACGCAGCCTCTCCCCGTCACCTGCAGAGAGCAGCGTCAGTCACCGCTCGGAAGACACGTCCTACAAGTAACCCTTCAGACACGTTCGAAGCTCCTTGCCGAGAGCCTATTAGGCTTTTAAGATTTGGTCATTCCATGGGAAAAGCTAATTGTAATCTTCGAATGTTTTTCTAATCCTTGGCTCTCATTCTGTTATATATTTTACTCCTTGTTAAAGGCAAAACAAAATTTAAATTTCATGTCTTAGAAAAACATCAGCCACACAATCGAATAAATAACATTGATAAGAGAGCATTCCGGACAGCGGTACACGGAGGCGAGTCCGCAGCAGTCACTGTCCCGGCCCTTCTTTGGAAGCCCTGCTCTGACTGTGTCTCTGGGCATTGCCACGTGGGTTGGCATGACCCCCAGGGGACGCAGGGCTGGCAGTGGCTGGTTCCACCGGAGTCCAGGAGGACAGAGACTCGTGCACCGTGAGGGTGTGCTCCTCCATCTGGCGCTGCAGGCTGTCCATCTCCTGCCTGGGACAGAAGAAGGAAGGCGGCCCAGATCACACACATGCCAGGCAGAACGTGCCAACCGTGGGCAGCCTCACTCGCTAGCACCTGAGTGGAGCTGGGCAGCTTCGGGGACCCGCAAACCAACCGAGACCACAGAAGCTCAGCTATTCTCGGCACCGTTCTCTACACTGTGCAGAGGACAGTCGAGGGCGTACGCAAGAGGACACAGGCTCAAGGACCAGTCCTGACCAGGCGGCAGGGTGGAAGCTGTCACTGAGGCCTGGCACACACGACTTCCATTCCGTAACCTTCCCTCGGGGTGCCGCCTGGCCCCACCCTACACATTTCACTGAGCCTCAGGCTGCCAGGTACACTGCGTGTGGCCTTCCAGCTTCTCAGGGCCTATCACGGTAGTTTAACTCCAGGCAGTTTCCGCCTATGAGTTCAGAGGCTGTGTGTGAGTTCCCCAACCTTTATATAAACCTCAGAGGCTGTGTGTGTGAGTCCCCCACTTATATAAACCTCAGAGGCTGTGTGTGTGAGTCCCCCAACTTATATAAACCTCAGAGGTTGTGTATGTGAGTCCCCCACTTATATAAACCTCAGAGGCTGTGAGTCCCCCCCCTTATATAAACCTCAGAGGCTGGTGTGGAGTCCCCCACTTATATAAACCTCAGAGGTTGTGTATGTGAGTCCCCCACTTACATAAACCTCAGAGGCTGTGAGTCCCCCCCTTATATAAACCTCAGAGGCTGTGTGTGTGAGTCCCCCAACTTATATAAACCTCAGAGGTTGTGTATGTGAGTCCCCCACTTATATAAACCTCAGAGGCTGTGAGTCCCCCCCCTCATATAAACCTCAGAGGCTGTGTGTGAGTCCCCCCTTATATAAACCTCAGAGGCTGTGTGAGTCCCCCCCTTATATAAACCTCAGAGGCTGTGTGTGAGTCCCCCCCTTATATAAACCTCAGAGGCTGTGTGTGAGTCCCCCCCTTATATAAACCTCAGAGGCTGTGTGTGAGTCCCCCCTATATATAAACCTCAGAGGCTGTGTGAGAGTCCCCCCCTTATATAAACCTCAGAGGCTGTGTGTGAGTCCCCCCCTTATATAAACCTCAGAGGTTGTGTGACTCCCCCCCGTCATATAAACCTCAGAGGCTGTGTGTGACTCCCCCCCCCCTATATAAACCTCAGAGGCTGTGGTGATCCCCCCATCCTCAGAGGTTGTGTGACTCCCCCCCCGTCATATAAACCTCAGAGGCTGTGTGTGTGACTCCCCCCCCGTTATATAAACCTCAGAGGCTGTGTGTGTGAGTCCCCCCCCGTTATATAAACCTCAGAGGCTGTGTGCACGAGTCCCCCCACCTTTATATAAACCTGCTCAAACTCTGCTGGGCACTCATTGAGTGCTGGCACCAGGAGTGTCCTCTCAGCTAAAGAGGGCATTAATCTTTAAGACTAGCTGAAGTGCAACACAGAATATGGTCGTACTTGAGCTGCTGGAGGCAGCTGTTCAGGTTCTTGAGGGGCTCCTTGCTCACGGCAGGCGGTGGCTTCAGCAGCTCCTCCAGCAGCGAGGCGGGAACCGGGCAGTCGGGGATCTTGATGGGCGTGGCGGGGTTGGAAGAGCTGGCCTCGCCTTTTGGCTCCTTTCTCTGTTTTGAAAAGCACATGATCGGCTTTCCCACCGTCCCCTCCCTCGGGTCAGTCTCACTAGCACAGCATGTGGCAGATGGGCCTCCCCAGCGGGTGACATGGGGCCTCTGGGAAGGGGACCATCCCGGCTGCCGTGACAGCACAGCAGTCCCAGAGCTCCAGAATAGCTGGCTGAGGAAACACCTTTATTCCTAAGGCACAAAACCACAGCAAGCCACAGAGACAACCTAAGTCCTGGGTCTGCAGCGGGGCAGGGCCGAGCCACAGACTTACAGCTCTCCCAGAGGCTTTTCCCATCAGAGACTCAAGGCCTTGACGTGGAATTTCCCTAAGAAATTAAGTACGTTTTCCAACTTAGGCTCCCTTTTCTAGGACTTCAGACTTTTTCCACAGATAGGCCTCTGAATCCCAGCGCTGCCCTCCCACCTGCCTCCTGGAAAGCATGGCCGTGGACTGAGCACAGAAAACCGCCGGGCGCCTGGGCACAGCTCCCGGGCCCCAGCCCTACGCACACAGCAGGGACTGCCAAGTCACAGACCAGCTGCTCATCTGCTTTACAAAGCACATTGTAACAAAGTGGTATTTGTTGTTTTTTTTTTTTGAGATGGAGTCTCGCTCTGTCGCCCAGGCTGGAGTGCAGTGGCCGGATCTCAGCTCACTGCAAGCTCCACCTC